TTTTTACTGCAACTAGCAGTACTTTTACTGACAGTAGCAGTACTTTTACTGACAGTAGCAGTACTTTTTCTGACAGTAGCAGTACTTTTACTGACAGTAGCAGTACTTTTACTGACAGTAGCAGTACTTTTACTGACAGTAGCAGTACTGCTAGTAGCAGAGATTTTTATCGTCCAACTTTACAAATGTAAACTCCTATCGTTCTATTTTCTTCACTAGGGTCTAACACCAAAGTAACCTATGTACATGAAATTTCACTGCATAAAAGGAAAAAACTTGCGCGAATCGGGATTTGAACCGAGGTCTTCGACGCCTGTAGCGAGGTAGCCCATACCACTGAGCTATGAGCCGCTTGCATATTTTTAAGTAAAATATAGTATATTTGTCATACAGTGAAGGATGACCAAACTTAAAAAAAATAAAGTTAGTTTTATTTTTTTCTATCTTAAGGAAATTCATGAAAATTCAAGAGGGTAGAAAAGAGGTTAGAAAAGAGGTTAGATATACCCATCTACCCTAAACATTATTTTTGTCTGAATTTAGCAACAAAATGAACGAGGTCAGGATGTATGTAAATACCTTTGAATTCATTCATAACGCCCTTAGTAAGCTCATAAAATGCTTGTTTTGAGGTCGAGCCACTTTTGGCTCCACCGTATTCTTTCAACCTGAAGCATTTAATATATGTAAAAAAATGTTTTTTTTAAAATGGTATGCCATATAGCTTCTTGAATTTGTTAAGATATAGTCTAACGTATTTTCCATCTGCATCTCTAGCGTTTACATAAGCATAGCCTTCCTTAGTAAAACATACTTGTAATTTCCTATAGTTTACGCCGGTATAAAAGTAGAAAGAGTCTTGTTCTTCGCTATAGTAGTAAAACTCAAGCGTATGCTTGCCATAGTCTGTAATTTCAATTGTTTCATCTTCTAGTTCGTCGACAAATTCGAATACAATATCTCGAAATTTGCTTTTGTTCTTATTGTTTTCAGAACGAGTGACCCAACGCAAGTTCTCAAGTCTATTGTCGTTTCTTATACGGTTTATATGGTCTACAAAAGGTAAATTGTTAGGATTCGGTATAAAATGAGTTGCAATGACAACATGTTTAAAATAGTGTTTTCCACCCATCTTCATAGTAGTATATCCGTTATTTCGCTCCCATTCGCTTAAAACTCTTTTTGTCTCTTTGTTTCTGACTTCAAATGACTCACAACAGTGAATTTCATATTTCTCATCTAACAAACAAGTTTCCCAACGGTCTTCTCCAACAAACTCAGCGTACATTTCAAATAAAATAAAAAAATGTTTTTTTTTGAAAAAATGTTTTATTTTAAATGGTATGCCATTTCATATTTCTCATCTAACAAAAGTTTCCCAACGGTCTTCTCCAACAAACTCAGCGTACATTTCAAATAAAAATAAAAAAATGTTTTTACTTTACTTAACATAGCCACCAGCTACCAAAAGTCTTTGACGCCAACCCATACCAGCTAATGAAGGTTGACTTGGTTTAGTATTGAAACTAAACTTTGGTTTTGGTTTATCTTCAGTTTTTGGCTTCCCTTCTTCTATTGGTTTTTCGTCACTTTTCGGTTCCTCTGACTTTACTTCACTTGCAGGTATGGTTGTGTCGTCAACATCTTCATAAATATCATATGCCATTTGTTTTTGTTTTCCTTTCAACTTTTTGTGTTTGTTGTAAAGTTTAGAATATTTCGACTCTAAGTCAATGAGATGTTCTATAATGAACTGTTGGTCCGTGAAGTATACCTTCCCATCTGTTGTCTCTTTAACTCCTTCAGACTTCAATATTTTATTTGTGAGAGTCTGTTTCTTTTTTGAGATACTAGCCGTTCCATTTCTATGAAAAGTGACTTTATAGTTAGGGTTTGTATTTCCAGACCTGGCACTTTCTATTATTGAATTTTTCTCTTCATCTGTAAGTTCTTTGACAGGTTTTGACAATGGTTCTGAACTTTTTGTTTGTGGTGTCAAATCTACCGTTTCAACTTCTTCGGTCATTTCATCTCAGTAAAAAATTTTAGTTTGTTTTGTTTTCAACTGGTTGTTTAGGTTTTTTAAGTCGGTCTAAAACTTCCTGAGGTATAGGGAGGACTTGACAAACACGTGGTTGTGTAACTACTGGAAGTCGACAAATCCATCTTGAACCCATTTTCTCAATGCTGTATTGTTCATTTCATCTCAGTAAAAAACTTTACATTCCCACGTTTGAGGTGGTTGCGGTTGGTTGTTGTTTACCCATTGTTGTGCATGGTTATATCCTCTGTTAAAGAATCTTTCACCTTGGTCCATATAGTGTCCTGCTTGGTTATAGTAGTCATTTGCTTTGTTATAATAGTTTCCTGCTTGTCTTCCTACATTGTCCATCCATCCTTGAACTTTTCCTCTTGTTTCAGGATTTGGAATAAGATTTGCTGCATCTCGTGCTACATCCCAACCTTTCTGTACAGTTTGTATAATAGGTTGTGCTTTCTCTTTAAGTATACCTAATGTACTCAAAATCTTCCTTCCAATTCCAAATGCACCTCTGGCTATTGTTCCCACTGCGGGCAAAAATCTGGATGCAACTCCTGCTAATGCGCCAAATAAACCCATTTCTTATGGGTTAAAAAATGACGAATCCAAACAAGGACCCCTATGTTTCTAAGGCAACAAAGAAAGCACTCATGGTAAAAATCTTTAGTTCAACACCAAATGCTTGGTTTATGGATATCTTGGAAAACATTCCGAGGTATAGAGAAGATGGACCACCATACTGGCTAATATTTGTCGGTCAAAACACAAGATACTGTGAAGCCATACCATTATGGTCCAAAAATATTTTAGATGTGAAAACTGCTTTGACAATATTCGTTGACAAATACCATCCAACAAAACTGACATCTGACTGTGAAAGTTCTTTCAAATCAGATGATGTAAAAAACTATCTGCGTTCAAAAAATGTAAACCAATATTTCATTGTCGACCAAAACCATTCTGCTCTTGGTGTCATTGACAGTTGTATAAAAATCTTAAGAGACTTAAACCAACCACAAGGTGGTGAGGTAGATGAAATGTCATATGACGACAAGTACAGACACTTCTCCATGGCAAAGATGAGACAAGTTTTAAATATTTACAATAGCCGTAAACAAAAAGGTTTGGGAAACCATTCCCCTGAAGAAATGAAAAACAACCCTGACTTAGAGAAAGACTATATATTTAATAGTTTAGTCAAAAGAGACAAACAAGAAAGAATGCCAGGCTTCAAACTTCAGAAAGGTGACAAAGTAAAAATAGAAATACCTAAACGCGACCCATATGAAAATACTATTGACTATGACAACAATGGGAACTCGACAGGTACTCGCATTCGTGTTCGTAAAAATAGAAGAAAGTATACAAGAGAATATTATGAAGTTTTAGGCAAACATGGCAAAATGTACAGACTGCAAGCAGAAGATAAAACTACTATTGTCAGACCTCGTTTCAAACTTGTTAAGGTTCAAGGTGGTATACTTTCAAAGACAGTTCCAAACAAATATAAGACAACTCCTGACGAATATGCTAAAGAAGTTGAAAATGACGACTAAGCAATTCTATACCATGCACAAACTGTCATGTAAGGTGGCATGTATTTTTTACCTAGTCCTGTAGATGTTGTTGTAAAAGTATGTTGGTGGTTTCCTCCTGGTTCAGTTTGTCGAAAAGTCTTTTTTGCTGAATGGTTATAATCTGGAGATAAAACGTCATAGCCAGCTTCATACTCTGAGTTGTATAATGGGTGGTCTCTTAATGAGTGGCTATGGTCGCCAGAAAAGTTTGTTGTACCAGAATGACTATGTGGTGGCAAGTTGTCGACAGATATCGTTTTACTTCCACCTGTTTTCTTTGGAGTGTGTGCACAATACAAAAAACTTTCGAGTATTTGAGTCCAAGTTCCAAAACCAAGTACTACTTCTGGTCTGGTAGAGTTCATTGACGTATAAATAGAACCAACCGGGTAAATGGTTTGAAGTATTTCTGTCTTTAATGTTTGAAGCTCTTTTTTGTCTGCTTTCTTGTCATATAAATCTTGAGCAGTGAATTTAACTTTATTTTCATCCTCCATGACATAAACATCTCTACATCTAATGTATCTCATCGTTGTTATGTTTTTATCCGATGTTAAACCTTCTGGAAAGTTAGGAGGTTTCCAATCTAATACATCCCCACCAGTTTCTTCAACCGTTCCTTCAATATTTTCTATAGCAACAGTTGTAAAACTTGTATGTGTATGGTTCTTGTCAGCTTTGTCATCTAACTTTTCTTGTAAGTTTGCAATATTTGCAATGGTATGTGTATGTCCAACGTCACTTTTCCTGTTTAAGGTTTCTTGTAAGTTTGCAATATTTGCAATGGTATGTGTATGGTTCTTGTCGGCTTTAAGGTCTAAACACCCTGAAACCCATCCTGTATCGGCTTTAGTTTTTAAAATCTTCGATGTCCGTTCATGGTACCAGTCAACCCTTTCTTTAATTTCATTGTCTTTTTCATCCACATATTCCTTATATGCCTTCTTCACTAACGCACTAGTCACACATGCTAACTCATCGTCAACATATGTTTTATCTGCTTTCTTTTCAACATCCTCTTTTGTTGCATAAGCTTTGTTAGCTCTTTCTTCTTCTTTTGCTATTGCATCGTCTACATACTCTTTGTCAGCTTTGTTGTCAACATCTGCTTTCAAAAGAAGTTCATTTATAGGTTTCTCGTTTAAAGTTCCTTTTGTTGGATTTATACAGACAGTATTGTTCTTCTTGTCTTGAAATAGAAACTCATCTGTCATTGGGTTTAATGTCAGTTTTAAGTTTCCTTCTTTCAATGACTCAGATATCTTAGAATAGTTTGAAAAGTTTGTTGTGTTCTTATTTAGAGCTTGCATAATGAGTTGTCGGTTGTGTTGTATTTCTCTCATGGAAGCAATATCTTTCGACATTTTTATTCTAGATAAAATATGCTTTCAATAGAAAAAGAAAATTCAAGAGTTGCTACAACTAAACCATTAGATGAACTTTTTACTAATGTCGGTCAAAAGTTTGAGACAGAGACCGTAAAGCATGAAGGCTATCGTTTTGACTACCCATTAAGATGGTTAAGAGACCCATCTGTCACAAAAGCTATTGGCTTTCGTAGAATGAAGTTTGTGTCTGTAGAAGATAAAAGTTTTCCATTTATTGTAAGGTTTCATATAGATTATATATCTGAAGGGAAACGAAAAATGTGGGAAGAAATTGAGCTAATACAAGTTGACCTTTCATCTTCTCTACAGACTGCGTTAAAAAATATAGAAGATAAAATAAATTCATGTTATGCAAAATATGCTGATGAATATGCAAATACCGAGAGCACACTTTATGTGAGAATTGTATATGACAAACAAAATTCACAAGTGTCATTTCAAATCTACGAAGACAATCCAAAGAAAGACGAACAAATATATACAGAATTCACTGCAATGTCATGGTATTATTTGCAAAGAATGTTAAATCAGAAAGTCGAACTTCCTTTAGCAAATATTTACAGTCGATATGCAAGAGATGAACCATATTTATTTAAAGATGTTTTCGACCAAGATGCTATTATTGTTCATGCTTCATTTTCTGGCGCCCAAAACTCTTTCTTATGCTTGGCAAATGACTTTTACGAAAAACCTACAAAGTTATACGAACCACCAAGTGGAAGTATTTCAGACTTTCAAGTATGGTTTACTACAGATGGAAGAAAAAGAATAATTCCATTATACCATGTGTTTTACTTAGAACTTAGTTTCATATACAACTACTATCGAACGGTAAAAATATAATTTTTTAATACGGTTGAGGTGTTGGATTTGGTTGCCAACTTGACTGTGGTGCAGGTTCAGGCTGTTGTATTACAGGAGCTTGTTCTTCTGGTTCAGGGTCTTTAGGTATAATACCAACGAACTGACCTACTCTTTTACCAATATTTTTGACACCGTTCCAAATTCCTCTTCCGACAGATTTTATTCCATTCCATATACCTCTTCCAACATTTCGAAAGAAGTTTCCTATCTTACTGAAGAAACCCATTTTACTATATGTAAAAATCTAATGTCCACCTAGTCTCTTACGTTTCCTGTTGAGTTCCATAGCATTCTTTAACTGGAGCTCATACATTCTGTTTCTCCTCTGGTAGAAAACATATTCTGGGTCAACTCCTGTGTTCGCGTCATCTGCATAAAGTTTTTATATCCCACTTCAGGGTTTGTATAAAACTCTTTCCATCTCATATTTGCATACCATGGTGGCAAACCTAACGCAGCGTCATTTGACATGGCAGTTTGCATTTGTACATCTGTTGGCACTTGACCATAGTTTGCCATTGCAGTTTGTATTCTAACTTCATTTGGAATATTCTCTGGGTTTGGTTGTCCAGGTTGCTGTGCATTCGCTAAGTTCTGTGCGTCCATTTTAATATTAGATAAAAATATCTCTTACGAGTACATATGCTGAACATTTGCAGGCATTGGTTCATCTTCATATTCTCTATATCTTTCTGCCACGTCAAATAAGTAAATGACACAATGGAAAAAACCTAAAAAAGTAGTCCTATTTCAAACCACATTTACTTACTAGTAAAATTTCTTTGTTATGACACTTTCTCCAGTTTATAGGACCTCTCTCATATTCTATCTTATCGTATCTAAACTCATAGTCATGTATGTCCTCTAACCATCTCATGACACTTTCCAAACCACTTTTATCGGATGTAAAGTAAAAGCATGGATGGTTATGTAAAACGTCTAAAGTTTCTAAAGAGTCTCTCAAAGTCCAGTCTACTTGGTATTGAAAATCCCATGTGTTAAAGAACGGCGGGTCCACTATAAAGAAAACATTTTCCTTGTCTTTATATTTTTCATACAAATCTGTCCAATGACATCTCACAAACTCTATACCCTCAATATATTTTTCTATGTTCTCTTTGAAAACATTTGTATAGTTAAGATATAAAACTTTTGACATAAGTGTTTCAATGTCATGAACTCTTATAGCACCACTATATAATAGTCTAGCAGATATACTATCCCAGTCAATATACTCTGCCTTTTCAAAACCTCTCTGACAGTATTTTTCTTATCTAATGGTATACGTTCCATCTTACCTATAGGTATCTTTTCTTTTAACTCTTTCAATATTTTGTTTGTGTCTGGTATATGTTTGAGACGGTTCATATAGTTGTCGAAGTCATTGCATATAATCTTTGAGTCAGGAAATATTGTATGGCACAAATGAGATATATAGAAACTTCCACCGAACAAGTCTACAAATGTTAGACCATTCGGTAGTTTCTTAAGTTCTCTCAATAGAATATCTTTACATCTACTCTTATTTCCAAAGAAGGGTAACGGTGGTTTTGTAAAATTCATTTTATATATATATAATAAAAATTTTTTTCCTGAAAAGTGACAGAAAAGTGACGGGGGGCTAGAGGGCACGAAGTGCCTGGAAGCCCCACTACCTTTTTTTTTTTTTTTTTTTTTTCATTATGTTTGGGCTGAGTGTAAATGTCTTACAATTTTGAAAATTTTTTAAATCTTGATTTATTCAAAAACGTAAGAATAAAAACCGTAAGAATCATACATTTTTTACTTCATATGTTAAAAAAAATGATACAAAATCGCTCGATATTGTATGAATTCTTACGTTTACAAAAAAAGTCACTAAACCCATCATATCCTACTACTCATAATTTCTCAAAAAACATGATAACTTGATATTTGTAAATATCATACTTTATAACGTAAATAAGAACTTGACCTATTAAGAAAAGCAGTAATGAAAAGAAAATCTGAAATTCATAAAAATTACAAGTTTCTGATGACAATTAGCTTAATTAAACCAGGTACAAGATTATATAATTGTATTTTCTATCCAATTATCCATATAATATCTTATCCAGAAAAAATAACTTGATCAATACCAAATGATTTTTTAACTAGTAAATAAAGTATTTTCTTTACACACACATTGTATATCATAGTTTTTTTTGAGAGAGGGTCAAAGTTGCTATTTGTCACTTTTCCACAAGAATATAATGGGGAAAAAGTTATCATATAGTTGATCTCATTCACTGAGGTGAGAGATGCATGTAGTGTAATGTTATAAACAGTGGTATTGCTGCTCTAAGTCCTAGGTTCGAGACACATTAGCTTCATTTTTCTCTTTTTTATTGACGTAAACTATTCAATTTTTGTGTTCTCCATTCAAATTTCAGAATTTTTTTTGCAGATTTCACGCTACATTCGAAGTTACCTTTTGTAACAACCACCACTGCCTACGAAAGACGAAAGTGTGTCACGATTTCACCCGGAAATCCGACGGTTGTTTAAGAGTATGCACTTTTGTCACCTACTCAGTTTTTTTTTGGTTTCGCAAAACATCCAAAAACAAATATGCTATAAAAGTGACAATTTTAGCAAAACGAAACCCTTATATACCATTGATGTTTAAATAGTTCTTTTATTAATTTTTCTAAAAAATTCATTTCTTTTTTCCATATCATAAATGAGGAGCAAACTGGTTGAAAAATGTAAATATTTCACCAAATTCTCATAGATGCAAAAAAATCACCCAACAATACAATGTTTATCAAAATTTTCAAAATCAAATTCTATGAAGCACCTTCATAATAAAGAGTTATCAATCAAATGTGAATATATATTAATTTTATATTAAATGGAAGGAAGTATAATGAAAAGAAATGTAACAAGGAGAAAGAATTCAATTATCAAATAAGGTCCTTTTTTCATTTAAGGCACCCTATTCAAAAAATGAAAGGGGGTCCCTCACAAAATTGAAGGGGTACCATTCAAATTCTATCGAAATAGTACCTTAATTAAAAAAGCTCTCAACCGGTACCATTCAAATTCCCTCAAAAATATTGAAAAGATTTTAGGTATGCTGCTAATATAGTTAGTAGCATCATACAGAATGCATAGACAAATTTTTTACTAATTATTTTTTCTTAGCAATTCAAATTCGAGATCGCTTAACTATGCTTAGAATCATAAGCATAATAATTTTGCAAAAGGTATGGGAATAATTTGAAAATTAATTTCAAAATTATTAATACTAGTGCAAGCTAGTGTAAGCATGTAAATGCATATTTGTGCACTGATTCGATACTCTTTTTTGGAAATTGTACTTTATCTTAAATTTCGACTGCAAATTTTTTGAATATGTGTATTGAAACTGTAACCTTTTGTCTAAGTTGCATTCTAATATAGCTCGAATTCTAAAAATGAGACTTTACTCCTCTTTCTTTGAGAAAATTTTAGACAATAGCCAAATTGCTAATTTTGTTGGAGTAATACCTGCATTGGGAGGTATAATATATTGTTCAGGGTTGAAACAAGGAGGTAGTTAGTGATAAAGCATAGTTACCACATGAAATGCAGTAAAATTTTGAGTCTAAACGTCTTTTAAACCATCAAGTATAAATTATAGAAAAAGATACTTTATATATAGTTAAAATAAAAATGATTAGAAAATAGCGTTTTTGATCAAAATTTCAAATTTTTATTTCCGAATATCTCTATTTGTGTCTAATTAGAGACATTTCTATAATTTTAGTGCGCAGCATATGCAATTCCTCTTTGGTTATTGCATTAATTTCTCAAAAAGAAAAAAGTCTTCAATAATTTTTTCAACAATACAGTACTAAAGCTAAGAACTTCTAAACACATGAAAAGTTATATCATTCTCGTTAATATGTAGATTATCAATGAAAAGAATATTGTGAAATTTGAATATTTTTTAAAATAGAATGTAGAAATACTTATCAATGCTTAAAATAGAGATATGTGAGAGCTAGATCCGTATTTATTTACGTTTTCGTGCATATTTTGAATATCAAATTAAATTAATTTTGAAGATTTTAGCATCTAAAAGTATTTAATGCCCCTATACAAGCAAGGTAATTCTTACATGTCTTAGTAAGTCCAAACTTAATGTTTTATGATATGGGCCTGACCTCTCCATATGGTGACGATAGAAATTGAATAGGGTACCTAAATAAAAAAAGGAGTTTATATAAAGTTTTATTTTTTGATTCGATGAACAAAATGAAAATAAAGCATTACAAAATCAATTTAAAGGAGCATTTGAACGAATGATGACATGTCCATCTTGATCGTGGATCTTTGAAAAGCTTTCCCTGATTGCCTCCTTTACGTTTGTTGGTATGTTAGACTGTTGGACGCGTGCCCATTGTCTTTGGAGGCGATCAACACAGCGTTGATTTGTTAAATGATCTTTATTTCCTCTGATTACATCTTCGATCTGCTGATCGTAGTATTCATCACCAGAATAACCATCATTGCCATACATGTTGCCTGCGCGACTCTTGTTGCGCAAGTTTTCTCTATCATTGAGTTGTCTGATTATATTCTTCTTGTTCTCTTCAGACATTGGTCTTCCAGGCTGTGTACTGAGAATGGCGTTAATAACGCGGTAAGACATAATATGACTTGCATTCGTTCCATCTTCTTTTGATCCATACTTTGTGCGACCAAGATCTGAACGTTCAATCTCCTTTGGTGACTTATGACCTACTGAGGAATTCTTTTCGGATTTGACTTCAACTGGTTTGGTTTCACTTTTAACGTTTGTTGATGATTCTGATTTCAAATTTGATGAAGAATACATATTTCCTCTGTTATCACAATATCCGCTTGCACATGCAGCCTTAGATGAGGAATATCTCATATCAAGACCGCCATCTTGACGATAATGATATCCGCTTGATGATGAACTCGAAATTGATGGTGAGCATGGATATGAATAAGAAGAATTAGAAAAGCCTCTACTGTTGCAAAGTCTCATAGAGCAAGCAGCTTTTGATGAAGAGTATCTCATATCAAAGCCTCCGTCTGCACGATAATGGTATTCGCTCATTATCAAAAATGATTAATTCAAAATTTTGTCTAAAAGACTGTTGAGTTATCGCATCACAAATGATTTAATAATAAACATGTTTTTTATTGTATTAATATAACATATAGACATTTACTAATTTCTACTATTCTCATAAAGTTTATCTTTTGGAGTCAAAATTTTTTTTCACATCATTTTACTCTCAAATTTGAAAATTTTACTATATTTCAATAACGAATCAATAGTCCGATAAGGTTAGTCCGGTTCATATAAAAATTATTTGATGATTTGATGAGAGGAAGTCAACAAGACTGTCATGCAGAATTTCAATTTATAAAGTAAAACTCGGATATTCAAGAAGAGTAAGTATTCAAATGAGATACAATTCGATATTTTGGGGATATCACATATAGATATAGTTATTTTGTAAATAAAATTTCATCCAATTAAATTTTCCCATTCCATGAACGTTTTAATGTCAATCAGTTTCAAGAAGAAAGTTGATGCACCCATTTTCATCAAGTGATTGATCGTGACTCCTTTTCCTCCAGCTGAAATCGTGTCTAAAATTTCAGAACAAAATCTGTCAAAATTAATTTCAGTAAATCCTGTTTCATCAACCAATGATTTGTAGAAGTATGAGATATCATAGTTCGAAACATAGCCATCTCCATCGATATCAACTAATTTAAAGAAAAACCCGATCCCTTGTTTGGATTGCATATTCTTTAGTGGAATGACGAAGTTGAGAAAAGCACAAAAGTCTAATTTTCCTTCAAATGTTGGTAAAATTTCAAATAATCTGTCAAGAAAAGCATCTGAGAACTTAAAATCGAAAATTTCCTTAAGATTTTGCTTGCCTATAAGTCCTTCTTCATTAGAATTCTGATTTACATAAGTATTATAAATTGATGTTGTAGATTTGATTGAAAATATACCTGGAGTAGGGATTATATCCATATTAACGAATGCTGAGAATGTATTTGATTGGAAAAGTGATGTAGCATCAAGTTTAAGTTCATAAATATCTGAATTAAAGAATGAAAACACCGAAACAACAATTTCAACGTAGAATTCTTTATACCAGCTTAGATCTGTTTCTAATGAAGCAAGTGATTTGAATGTTGGAATAGATTGGATAATATAATTTCGAAACGTTTCTAAAGAAAGTGTTCTTGTAATAAATGGATCTATTTTTAAGATTGTGAGAATTCCATTCTGTATATTGTAAAGCTGAAATAGAAAAGCCTTGAACAAAGAACAATCAAATCTTCCGTCAGAGAGCTTGAATTTGGCTAATATTTTATCAGAAAATAGATTTTTCCTCTGAGGACCGAATATATTCTGAACTTCTGTTAAACTCATATCAAATTGTATTTTATTGATATCTTCTTTTGAAAGCATTGTCTGTTTAAAGGCATTAACTCTCTCTTCTCCAACATAGTCAGCTAGGATTTTTCCGAATTCTGTAGAAGGTAGTGAAAATGCATCATTAAATGCAGGAATTATAAGCGGATTTTCTTTATTCTTCGATGGTTTAACCATACTGTTTAACTGCTTGCCTATTTCATTCAAGCCATAAAAATTTAAAGTTGCAATTAGTTCATCAGTTGATGGCAGCATTTTTCAAATTATAAACAGCTATTTTTCGATTTTTTGAATGAAAAATATGAATCTCATAAAGATTCAATGTGTGCAATCATTTTTGTTAAAAGAGTTATATAGAAATACATTAATTTTGTTCGGCAAACTCAAAGTGTAGATTCATTCTTATTTGAATAAATGATGAAACCTATTTGGAGTTAAAATATAAATGCAGCATCCTTTTATTTAGCTCGGATATGAACAATGAATTACATCAATATGTAATAAATGAAATTATTCGATTTAATTTTAATAATATTAATGGTTAAGAAGACTTATTCTTAGAAATCAAATTTGAGATGATTTGACAGGCATGTTTCTTATATACTAGCAATGATTCCTTGACTAGAGAAATAGCAATTTTTTCACTCAAGCCTATAAGTGATATGAAGCATATGGCAATAAATATTTTAGCAATTTATGCTGAGAATTAGTCTGTGAAGCCAATTTCTTCAAATAATTTTTGTTCGCGATATTTTTAGAAAACTATGCTACATATATGAGATATAATGAAAGTATGAAGAATCATTAAATAAAATTTATGGACCAAAATGTCCAAACCCATGTATCTTCGTTTTTCCATAAAGCCATTGAAGCATAACTTATCTGAAATTTTAGAAAATATGATGCCAAAAGTATGTAAAACTCGAGTAACGCGAAATCATCTATTGAACTGATTTGTTTTTGTCATGAAAAAAAAATATTATTTTGAGAGGTTTACAAAACCAGGTTTACAATGATAGCTCAGGATACTAACATTAACCTGTGCCTCATTGGAGAGGACGGCACTACGTCCAAAGGCCTTTTGAAAATGCAGCATAATAATGGCAATGTTTCTCTCTCCTTTTTCCCAGAACTTGTTGTTGATGGAATGAAAGGAAAACAGCAAACAAAGCGTATCGCGCAAATTCCCGATTGTGTCTTCCAATTATCAGATTTCACAATGATCGAGATGGATGCCGATGACCGTCTTGTCGTCACATTATCTGGTTCCAGATCTCATTGCGTTTTATACTTCACTCGCGATAATGACATCACTCACTTCCTTAACTACATCGGTGGAAAGGTTCGCTTGAAAAACTCTGACTGCAATCCTCGCGTTTATCTTCTTGAGCCACTTGATTCATCGGCATCAATCGTCACACCTTTCCTTTCAACAGCTCTACCGCAGTCGAGCAACAAGAATAAAGCTCCAAGCCGAGTATCGCTTCATAAAATACAAAAGCCAGACTTAATTTTCCCACCTGATTTCGATGAGCCGGTCAAGAAAATGTCTGCCGCCGAGTACCATACTCTCTTTGATGAGTCCGGCTGCATCAAGGATGGCGTCAACTTCCCAAGCATCTTTTACAACGTAGACGTTGATCTGGCAGTTGCAGGAGAACTTTGGAAGCTTCTTCTTGAGCCAGATGATGCTAAACTTCCAAGGAGTGAACGCGAAAGGAAGACAATCGAAAACAGAGAGAAATATACAGAAATCAAACGCCAATGGCAAGCAACAACCCCACGTCAATGGAAGAACTATGGAGAGCTCCGCGATCTCATCGCATTGCTCGAAAAAGATCTCGTTGACAACGAAAATTTGTTTTCTCATTTCAAAAATCCAGCATATGTTCAGAAAATCGCCTTCAATGTTTTACTCACGCTTTCATACTGGAACCTAGATAACGCTGCTTACGTAAAAGATTTAGTCCATTTCCTCGCTCCTTTCCTTGATTCTTATATCTGCGATGCCGACAAAGATAAGGTCATTTTGCATGATGGAAGCCAACTTACAGCCGAAGAGAGTGAAGCAGACATATTCTGGTGCTTCACAACCTTCTACGACCACAATAATCTTTGCGATCTCGTCCGCCAGTCTACGAAACCACTTAACAAGCCTCTTTTCATCGCTATAGGTTATATCCTCGATGAAAACTTCCCAGACTTGCTCCAACTCCTCACTCAGAAGCACGCGGTTTCATTAGATTTCCTTAGAGACGACGTGAGCAGTTGGTTCACCACTTGCTACTCGGGTGATGACCTGAGACGCTTGTGGGTGAGCGTTCTGTCGTTCTCAAGCTCGTTCCAGTTCTTCCAATGTTATATTGTGTCACTTTTGTACACATTAGCCGGGTCATTTGTTGAGATGAATCCATTAAACAGCGATGAGTTTGTTAGGAGATTCCACGCATTGAAGAAGAACGTCGATCTTAACCTCCTGCTACATAATGCAAACCAGATCTTGAAGATTCTTCAAAAGAAAACATTGCGTTAGAAATCGGGCCCTTTTCTTTTATATCTTAAAATGTCTCTTATTGAAAATATCTTTTTTAATCTTTTCCTTTTAAATCATACACGGAATCACATATATAGAGATATCCTATTAAGTGCCTATATTGTTTATTCTTCATTTTCATAGAAATGAAGAATAGTGAAAACTTAATTTTGAAAACTTTGATGCTTTCATTCTACTCATTGATAATCATTTATTAGATAATTGAGAAGATAAGATAGATAATTTCTTATGCTCCTTCTAGCAACTGAGAAGTGTATCGTACAGTTCTTCCATCACAAATCTTTTCACCTTTATTAGTCTCATCAGAAATGAGACATATAAAACAGCATGAAAAATAACTTTTAATTGATGCGCGAATTGTTGGAGTTTTTATATATCATAACCTCTTTAAATGAGAGACTTGATAATTATGAGAAGTGCTTTTTTCATTTGCGGTATGAATATCTTTCTAATCTTTTTTCCAAAGCTCATGATTATTTACTTTCTAAGTCTTTTCGAATTTACCTCATATGTTCTGTAAATTTTGATGAAAACATCTCTCTGAATGAATATATTGATAATGGTGTAAATCACTATAATCAGTTGGGGTAAAGAGATAGTTATAACTTTAATGTATAAACAAAACACAAAAATATTAAACAAATATGAAATTCTTCATTTTTTCAAAGAAATTGACTGTCTTGTGGTCTTCTTGATACATCTCTTTTGCACGTTTAATTGTCACAAAAACATTCGAAACTTTGAGATTTTGTAAATTTGTTAATGTTTTTGCGAAATCATGTACATCTAAGAAATCGGACTTAGACATAATTGAAGCAACACCAAAATAGAATGCATATTCAAGCAAATTATCATGGTGAGCAAGTAAAGTATCCCAAATAATTAATAGAACTGGTAACTCGTATTCCTGTGCAAATAATAAGTTAAACCATCTGAAAGAGTATAATAGTGGTTGAATGTTAAGCTTTTGGAGTGTTTCAAACGATTCTGGAGAATGTTTCTTAAGAATATCCTGGAAAACTTGCATTTTATGAAGAATTAGTGAAGATTGGTCTTGAGTCGTATATAAAACATTGATTTCGGTTGTAGTTAATAATTGTTGTAAACAAGCAAAAGAAATCGCTTCAATCATTAAAGGATCGTCATCAAATAATTGTGGGGCTTGGTAGTTGACGTAATACAGTACGGGTAAAAGTTCATTGAACCCTTGCATATAAGATAAAGTTCGATTACATTCTGAGAAAATGTATAAAATTCTTTCTAACCTTCTCATGTGTTCAGCAAATGGAGCTAAACATGCTGTTTCGTATGGTTCAACCACTTCGCCTGGTGGAAGGAAAAAAATATGTCGACCTGTTCTAACAATATCATTATGAATCACATGCATTTTCGAGCAATCCTTGACTTCTAATGCTTTTTTCTGGACATTTGCTTTAAAATGCTTTGTATGCCAATCAGCGACTCCGAAAAGATCGCAGAAATCTCTATATGTCTTAAATAAGTCATCCCTAACTTCCTTCCATGTAAGTGGGTCTGATGGATATACTCCTAATAAAACTAGCCACGCAATACAGCGATCTTCTGGTGGACATTCAGAAAGACCTTCAGCGCAAAGAGCTCTTATTTTAGGTTCATCAGCCTTTCCTTTGTCCCCGGTTGGTTGGACAAGTGGAAGGATTCTAAACTGGAGAGGCTTAGTCATATCTGGAAAAGTTAATGTAAAACAAAATTTTGAATCAAATTCAAAATTTGAAACAGTGGTTTTTGACTTATGGTGTGAAGAATCACCATGGAAAATTATTGGAAATGAATCAACCTCACAAAAAATTTCAAACGTATCATGATCTGAGTTGGTTTAAAAATTATAGAAAATTGATCCATAGTTGAATTCCTCATAATTAAATATTTTATTCAATTTATTTGTAAATTAGTTTAGGAGAATATGCGAAAACAAAGGGTAGGAGCTGCAATTCCGTCCTTGAATCTTATGGCATTGAACTCACAAAGTAGTAATAAAGATGTTGATACAGTTAGAAATCTAGAAAGTAGTAGCAGTTTCGATGAATTTGAAAACGAATTTTTGATGAATGATAGTAATGGCGATGACTCAAATGAAATACTTAGTGATGATGAATTTGCAACCAAAAAAACAAAACAGGAATCTCCTGTTTCGTTAAAATCTTCAAAAAATTCGAAAGAAAAAGAATTAAAATCGAGTAAAAATCAATCATTTCAAGCTAATACTCCTCCAGAATCTGCACGCAAGAAACTTTCCTTTGTTAACATTGACTTTGAAGAGCCAAAAGAGTCTCCAATCACAGAAACTAAAGAAATTTCAGCTAAAAAAACTACAAAAACTAATAAAACTCCTTCGAAACATAGTCAAATCCCCTCTTGCTACAATAGACCTCCTTCATCTCGTAGACATATTGAAGAAGATCAAAATCAGAAGGTAAATGCAACGAAACGACCATCAAACATAGCAAAAACAAAGAACATAAGATCGGATTTACAAACACGTAATATCCATCAAAATGATGTTAAATCGAATATTACCAAAAAGACACCTAATAATGATGACAATCCAGCTAATGAAATTAAAAAGCGTATCAGTGCTCTTAAAAATCTTTCTATTAAATCTGATAACAAAGAAGAATCTTCTCCAACAACTGCAAGAATAGCAAACTCTAACTTAAAGAAAGAATATACGCCAATATCAGCTCGAAAACAACCTGAAATAAAGAGAGATCAGCTTGAAATCAAGAAATTACCGATATCCCAAATGAAATCAAATGATAAACAAAAAAATGAAGTAAGTCCAACAACTGCTAGACCGAAAACTGTATCAACTGCAAGACAGATTAAAGATCATCCTGTTTCACAACTTAAAAGAGACAAAGTCCCTGTTACTAAAAATAAAATTGAATCGAATGTTCCTTCTACTTCAAGAGTTCCTTCAAAACAAGTGCCTCAGAAGACTGAAAAGAGGCCTCCACAAACAGCAAGAAATGAAAGGCCAAAACCAATCATATCTGTGTTAGATGAATCAATAATGCTCAGAAAGCAATGCGCTAAAGATTTCTGTGATGATTTAGATGAAGTAGATGCAGAATTAGATGATCCACGTAAAACTGGAATAGATTGGCTCGATGATATGGCAGAGAACGAAGAAAAATTAATGTTGAATTTTGATGCAGAAAGAGCTCAAGAAGATTCGATGCTTAATTTATATGAAGCAGGCGCTTCTAAAGCTGCTCAGAACATTAATCCTAATGATGATCCTTTCGATAATATTATGAAAATGATGAATGCTGGTTTTGATGCAATTCATCAGCAAAGTATGCGTGATAAAGAGCTTCTTGATGAAAGAATTATGCTCATTCAAAAGATTCAAGAGCAGCTTAAAGCTGAACCTCCAATTGACGTTTCCGATTGAACATTATGTTATATAAACTGTTGTTTTGTATATTTATGCCAAATAACATATTTTTTATTAATGAATACTTGAAATTGATATATTATCTCATATTTAACATTGGGTTTCATTAATTCGAAACCTTTTCTATGGAAATGTATATATTTAGATGCTGTAATATGTTTCCTGATTAATCATAATAAATATAATTTTCAAAAGAATATGGAAAAACAATTCAGTAATAAATGATGATAATTTAACTCATAAAAGTGAATTTGGATGTAAATGATCAGTATCATTTTTTTGTGAAATCAAATGGAACACGAAGCATTGATTGATCAACTTATCATAGAACTTCCTATTACAAGAGATGAAGCAGCAGATATTCTTTCTAATGTTGGATGGGATATTTCACAAGCAAAAGATGCTTATATGTCTTTATACGGAATTACACCAACAAAACAAGATCCTCCACCACCACCTGTTGAAACCCCAAGGCCCACATTCAAATCTAAAAAGGTTGTTGAAAAAGAAAAGGAGAAAGAAAAGGAAAAAGAAGAAGAATTCAAATATGTTTTAGCGGAAACAAACGATAAATTTACAGAAAGAAGAAATTTAGCTCAAACACGTGGAAGATGGTTAGTGGTTTATGTTTCTCAAACAACAATTAAAGATTTTGATCCATTCAAACCAGAAGGGTACATTAGAGACTATATGAATACTAGATTTGTAGGTTTCGTAACATCCCTTGAAGAACCTGATGGTAAATGGGTCACAAATGCATATCAAATTCGCGATTTACCAATTTATCTTTTTATTGATCCTGTTACAACCGAAAAGGTCGATTTGACCAAAGCAGGTAATCAGAAAGATTTGTCTCGATTCATGAGATCTTTCTTGATCAAAAACTCGAAATACGGACTTCCAATCGATATGATAGTTGAAAGAATGGAAATGGAAGAGTTTGAGATGGAAGAAGATGAAGAAGAAGTTGTCAAGCCTTCTGCGCCTAAGAATTTGCCTCCTCCAGCAGATCCAGGAAAAATAACGACTCAAATGATCCAAACGCCAGATGGAAAGAAATGCAGAATAGAAATTGGCGAAAATGAGTATATTAACACATTGTACGAGAAGGTTTCTCTTCTTGTTTCTTTAAATACAGATCAATTCAGACTTGATTTGGTTTTGCCACCTCAGCAAATATCTGACAAGACCAAAACCATCAAGGATTATAACCTAAGAAACTCTCTTATTAAAGTTGTTAAATTGTAATATTTTATTTTAAATATAAATTGTTGTTATTTAAGAAAATTCTTTGTTTTTATTATTACATAGAAACATGTAGTAAATTTTTCAATCCCTAAGAGATTCAATTGAAAATTTTGAAAATAAATAATAATAAAAAACAGGATCAAGAGTTGACTATAGAGCAATTGAAATATCTATATATTTTCTATTGATTCATATAAGTTAAATTATCAGAATTGATAACAAATCGTATAACGTTTTACTAATATTTATAATTTGCTTTCAATCACATAAAACCTCTCTCTTTTCTAGATGTATTTTCATTTTACAAACTACTATCCGGTTCTCTAGTATCATTAGATGTTGAAAAAATACAATTAGCTGTCGAGATACCACCTTCAATGGAAATAAACAATTCTCTAGCCAACGGTTTGATAGTAGCTAGCAAATACTAATATTTAGAATGTTCATGAAATTATTGTCACTTTTTATTATGAGTGAAAATCGCCACGGGTCTAGACCAATTGATTCCCTCAGAGGAAAAAGCTTTGTGAGATCCTCAGCTACCCCACAAGCAACTCGAAACATAGAAATTACGACAAAGGCAAATCCTGCTGCTAAATTTATTATTGAAAAGCCGACAAAAATAAATCTCTCCTTTGCAAAGCAACCAGGCGCAACAACTCCAAAAATTGAGCGTCCGGCTGCCCCTCTAAAAGTTACACCAGCACCAAAACCTGCTAACTACAATCCAGCGCCGCAATCAACTCCAATGGCAGCCCCAATTCCAGCTCAAACACCAACTCAAACTACTATTCAAATACCTCAGCGTCCATCAACTCCAAATCAAGTTTCTCCAATGATGCATCAAATATCAAACCCTGCTCCAATTGTTCCAAGCCAGCCACCTCCAGTTATCATCACAAAAGAGTTTATTTCACCACAACCGCCTGCAGCAGCTGATTACTTTTCAAAGTTTTCACTTTTATCATTCGTTACTTCTTTCAAAGACGAAAAGAGCTTCAACGAAACAGATTTATACTCTCTCGGTCTCAACTTGAACAAAGAAGAGCCTCTTTTACCAATGCTTCACTCTGTTCTCTCTGATGCTCCATTATTAAACAACTCTTGCTATCCAATGCCAAAGAGCTATGCCGCGCTCGAGAGATCAGAGAATCCGATAGAGAAGATCAATCTTTTTTCGGATTCCATTCTTTTATTCATCTTCTACACCCAAAGTCAAACAGATATGCAAACTGCAGCCTCAAACGAACTTATTCGTCGCGGTTTCCAGTACGATGAAGAAAAGTGTACATGGTCCAACAGCGAAGGCGCTGAATGGGATATTAATCAGTGGAAATTCGCTGAACAAGAAACTGATGAGTAATTTAATTATTGTTTAAACATTTAAATAGATAATCTACTTATTTATAATATGTAATATTGATCAAAAAAACAAAAAAAAAGAATACTTTATTCATATGAGAAATTCTATATAGTACTTTATCGATTTTAGTGCTTATTTTGTCTTGTTTGCTTACGATCAAACTGTCTATCACCTTTATCTCCTTTTGGCTTGCGATCAAACTGTTTATCACCTCTATCATTACGCTGGAACTTCTTATTATCGTTCTTCTTATCGAATTTATTATTGAATTTGCCCTTTTTCTTGTAATTTTCTGAATCTTTTTCGGCAGCTTCTGGATTATCTTCATTTTCGTCTTGTTTTGGACGTCTCTTCTGAGTCTGAGCATCATTTGTCTCATCATTCATATCAGCATTGAGTTTTGTGTTCACTAAGCCGCAAAGATTCGTGAAATATGATAAATCGTCTTCCATTTTTGAGATTGAAGAGATTTTGAAGACACTTTTTTGCTTGCATTTCTCAGAAGCAAATGCCTTTTAATTTTATTATATAAATAGGACTATTATAGTGATTGGTAATTATATATTAAAATTGATATATTAATGGATATTTTAAATTTTCATCAGGATGAATTTGCACTCACACATCTTCGAATAGATATGAATGTTTGTCCTTTTTCTCACTCATGAAACATGCCTAATCCCAGCCGATTGGGAAAAAAAACTTATTTCATTAGTATAGGATGAAACATTGTAGGTGAAAGAATGTAACACATCTATTATTCAGCTCCATCTTAATAAATGAAAATATGATAATATCGAATCAAACTATGAGAGTCGCTTACATTGTATAATATTTTGGCGTCTTGATGTAAACCATTCGATTTTGTGAAGTTTACATTGTATTTTCTGAAGTTTATGGCGTAGGGAAATTGAATTGGCGTTTATCACCAATGCAATGTTTTTGTTCATCAAAAATTATTTCCTTGCATGGGAAATGTTAGCTGTAAAGTTATGAATCTAGTTCAGAACTTCACAGCTAGCAATTCATTCCAGAAAATAAATCAATTCATTTACTCAAAGTTTGGCGAATTTATGCAGAGAATGAAAGGTATTAAGGCGCTAAATCTTGATAAGCGCCTTAAATCCTTTCATTCAAAGCATTGGAAATAAAGCAATATGAAATTCCATGAAAAAATAAACTTTACATTAGCGACGACGACTCATTCAATTTTGGTCTTGCGACACCATAAGCCATAGAAAAATACGACACGACTCGGCACCAACGAATTTTTTAGACTATTTTTTTTAAGACTTTGACATGGCATTTCAGAGCTACGGTATTGTCTTAATTATTTTTACCCAACATTACTTCAAATTAAATTTTGCGACTTTTTTTTGTTAAAATGTATCGTTTCCAAGCATTCAAATTTCCAGAACTTTTAACGTTCATGAAAACTTAAAATTTATTGTGTTTGAGTTTTTTTAACTCAAATGTCATAAATTTCAATTCTTAAAAATGAAAACAAACTCCTCTTAAAAAGCGTTTGAATTCAAATGTTAAGAATTAGAATTTACAACGATTAAAGAATTTGTTTGTAATTTGGATAGAAATTGCTTACGGCGAAATTGCGAACATTTTTTAAATTGTATTGTGGAAACAAAAATTGAGTATTTTGTTAATTCAATTCGCGATTTAAAAAAAAAACTAAAATCATGGTATATATTGAATGGACTACGTATGCTATAAATTTGCTCTGACTATTTCTGAGGATTAAGTGAAATGGGAAAAAATTTAATTGTATATAAAAAGAGTGTGATGGCAATATTTTTTTAAAAAATAATAACCGTTTAAACATGAAATACACAAAATTTTCAATGTTCACCGGATTGTTTTTCTGCTTTACAGAATTATTAGACAACCATCAAACATTAGAAAAGAAACCTGACATCTTTTCATTAGAACATCAAGTCATACATGAAAATTTACATTCAACTTTTGATGAATATTACAGCTCTCATGAAGGGTGCAACACAGTAGAAATACAGCCAAACCAAAAAGTGAGAATAGCATTAGAACCATATTCTCGTCAAGCTGATATTTTTTTACTTTTGTCAAAAGATCAATTTTACGATGATTCCGATATATTAATTCCAAATAAAAAGGCTCCTGCACCACCATACATCATTGTAAAAGGGAAAGAAGTTCCAACTATATTTGAGTTTTTCCTTTGGAGTGGTATTAGTGAAAATTATGTTATAATATATAATTATGTTGACAAACGGATTGTTATTGATGAGTTTACACGAGTGCATAGTAGATACGATCGTGATGTTGATGTTTTTTACATATATTCAAGTAATGAAACAAAATTTGTTAAAATTAGAACAGCAAACGGCAAAGAAAATTTATTAGAGATCGAAGGATATTCATCAAGGATAAGATATGAGAGATGTGAAAAATTTTATATTCATACGGAGCTTCATGATTACATCATAATTGAAAATGATGAGGAAAAACTAAGTCAAATAGAAGAATTTAAACAAAAGGAAAGTCATTTATTAAAGTCATTGTTTGTGACTTCGTTAACAGCTGAATTAGAACCACATTATGATAATTATGATTATATACTTTGCTTACCAAAAAATTTCAACAATTTTACAATCGAAGTTGGTAAATTATATTGCATATCATTAAGGACTGAAAATTTCAAATATATATCATTATCAACTTATTCATTTTATGACCAGGAAGGAAATAGAATACCTGACCAATCAAATGAAGTTATGGATTTATATATCAAAGGAGTTGAATCAACAAAAATATTTTATTTTACTTATTTCCATAATAATAATCCGTTTATAATGATTTTCAATGATTTTGATTCAGATATATTTTTGTATTCAGATTTAATCAAAAGTGAGACATACTATGATATACATTTCTTTTATAATCATGAAGACTCTGATATATTCGAAGTATCCGCAACAAATGCAATCGAAAAATTTGGATCTGGAACTAAAATAGGACAAAATTATATACAGCTCTTTGCTCCTCCAAAAGGTAAAAAATCCAAATCTAGTTAGTAAAGAAGGCATTGTTGATACCTACTTTTATACAAATATTGAAGGGGAAATAAGAAATAGTGTGAAAAATCATTCAATCAAATTCGAAGATAAAACTGTTACCCATGGCAATTTAAATCTAGATCCAACAAAATTGAATGTCATACATATAGAAATATTTAAAGAGGAATATTATTATTATCGACAGATGACTGTTTTTTATAATCCACAAGGATTAGTTTTATATAATAGTTCAGATTTAGAAAATATCTATTTTGGAGATCAATTTATTGTAATTAGAAAAGATTCTCCTGTATTTTCAGATGGTACAATTTATTTACACTATAGATGCCACAGACTTGAAAAGTGTAACAAAGTTGATTTTATCAATCTTTATGGAACAAGAATGTATTATTTAGACAAAGTTCGTGAAGCTTTTTCTACTTGTGTAATTCCATTATATTATGATGATCCATTCCCAGCGCGTATCATTAAACAAGGCACTTTTGATGTATTTTATCATTACGAAGAATTCACTTATGCCATCAATGCTTGGGTCTCAGAAATGTCTGAAATTCATTTCACAATTGCATCTAGGGGCGATGAAGATAGAGAATTAGATCAATTAGGTCTCGATTTAATCAAAAATAATCCATATGCTTCAAATTTATTGACATATTATGACTGCCGACCAAAGGAAAAGTTTATTGAAATCCCAGAGGATAAATATGTAACACTTGAATTCAAATATGGATACGTTTGCTTTTCAAATGGTGAAAGCTTTATAGATGAAAATGGTGAAGTACTACAGAACTATTACGATCTATCAGAATCACGAATAACATTCAAAGTTAAAAGAAATCCAAATGCAAAATACGCACATAATATATTACACTATGTTTATGTCGCAAAATATTCAGCAGATACAGAAGTTACTTTAATAGTAAATCAATACCAGAGCAAAGTCAATGTTAAACCAAAATCAACATCAAATAAAGACTACATAATTGTGTTCTTTAGTACAATTAAATCATGTATAACGATCGATAGGAAGCGCAACTATTATGATATTATTTACAAAAATGATGAAGCGAAAAAAGTTGATGGTGAACTAGCATTTGATAATGTAACTTGTATGATGTTGAATTTCGAGAGTTTTAGTAGAGGTAATCCTGAATTTATTATTAATAATACTATTCAAACAGAAGCAATTATTGAGTACAAGAATGCAACTTATGGATATGAAAATGTTGAAGTTATTAAAGATGATGTTAAAGTTGAATTCAGTCAAGAAGAGGAAACGGTTTTGGAAAATGGAATCTATAACATGAGAATAACAGAAACAGTCAAAACATATGTTATTAAGGAAGGTTACTCAGTTGCATACTCCGCAGAAAACTTCCAAGATATGAAGGTTATAACTAAATCGAAAGGTGTCAAAAGAGATTTAATTGCAGAAAACGTTTTACATGTTGATTTCACAAATAATGGAAAATTGGAATTGTCATATGTTAATTCCGTGCATGAATCAGCATATATTACAATTTACGTTTATAAAACTCCTCACTACGACTGTCAAAATATTATTTCATTTGGTACAGCCAAAGTTGAATTGTCCTCAAACAAAAATGATGACTTCTCATTGAAACAAGGTAAAGATATTTGTTTGACAATGTTATTCAGTTTCTCAGGAACAACAATTAAAGTTGATGTAAATAAAGCTGGAATAAGTGTAACTCCAGTGTTTGACTTTAGTTTCAGCAAATCCATAAGGTCTGATGAATATGATAAACCAATTTTAATTAAGGTAACTCCACCAGAGAATGGAGAAGAAGCAAGTTTGAACGTTAATGTTGAAAATCCAAATGTCGAAGAAAAACCAAGAATTGTTTCGAAAAACAGTGAGTATAAATCAGAACAAATAACATATAGCGAGAAGGTTCCAGACCCAGAACCTGAACCAGAGAAAAATCCAGAACCTGAACCAGAGAAAAATCCAGGACCTGAACCAGAGAAAAATCCAGGACCTGAACCAGAGAAAAATCCAGAACCAAATCCAAAAGATGACGAACAAAATGCGGAACCAACTCCAAAACCAGTAAATGGTGGTTTAATCGCAGGAGTCATTATTGGTGTATTAGTAGTTATCGCCATTATTGTTATCGCCATTCTCTTCCTGATCAAGAAGAGGAAGAGTGCAAATGAGCCAAGTGAAGGTTCCATTGAAAAAGATGACATGCCTGACGTTTAATCGATAAACATTAATTTTTTATCAAAAATTTGCTTTTTCTTAAATCAATGAATGTTCATAAATTAATTCGAATTTTGAATGAAGTTTTATTAACATTGTAACAAAATATTCTTTTTATTGATAGATTCTTCATTATCAATATTGATATTGTAATATATTCCGATTTATCTGAACAAATGCTTGATAATTATTTATACATCAATGCACTGACAATGTAAAAAATTCACAAAAACAGTGTTAAGGGTGCACTTACGCCCCCTTTGGCACGGCCTTCAATTCAGATGTTTAAGTTTAATGTTCAATGACGCTTCAAGCCGGGTGTCAAAAATTTGAATTAAAGTCATATGGGCGTAAGTGCAGCCTTAAAAAGAAAAATGGTAAAACGACATTTCACATTGCATCATAATTTTGATATTTTTTGTTTTTCAATGTGTTTTGAGGAATTTAATCATCTTGAGAAGGTAATAAAAAGCCAGATAATTCATCAAATGTTCTAGAAACAGCTCTTCTTTTGAAGTTAGTGAATAATATTGCTGAAATGAATAAAAACAGATTAAATAGAATTGAAATAAATCGAATACAAAGGATATTTTATTCATAGTTAGACTGCTTCAGCAGGTGAATTTGAGTTTGTTTTATTTTTAACGAGGAAATATATAGAAACTCCAATAACAATTCCCACAACCAACGAAGCAACTACAACACTAACAACGAAATAGTTAACAAAGTCTGCAATTTGCTTTTTTCTCCCTTTGGATCAGATGAACCGAATGAAGATGTTGAACCACTAGAAGTTGTTGATGCAGTAACAGTTGTCAGGGGCGCGAAGTGACCCAAAAAATGTCGGAAAAGTTTATGATTATTTGTGCTTCAAATGCCGATCAGCATTTGAATCAAAATTTTAATCGTATGTTAGAGAATTTTTTTTTATTTTCTAATGACAAGTGTACCCCGTTTTCGCAACCTGAATTCTGGACAAACTGCAACAATAAATGGCGCGGGGCGTTATCGAAAAACATTAAGTGGCTTGCCAGACAAAAGGTTTCGATTAAATACCGAAACAGATATTGACAATTATGCTATACAGTTTAAATCCAGGATCCTCAATGGAATCAATGGTTTTCACATTAGCATTGCGCCAGAATTATTGAATAAAGCAGATCCAAATTACGGTAAAGACCTTTCTCCAAAGAAAATATACCCACAAGAATATGCTCTGAAAGAAGATATGGACAGAGCCAGCATTTTAAGGATCTTAACGCCAAAATTGAATAATACTACATCAATTCTCGAAAATTACGAAAATAAAGATATAGATGAACAACCAGCAATCAACACGAAAATAGAATGTGAAAAATTGAACACAGATTTTGTGACACTTAACTTTTTTGAAAATGACGAAGAACAAGAAACGCATAGCAGATCAATAGCTTAACCCTCGCTTTACATTTAGCTAGCTGTGTATCATTTCCTATTTAATTATTTACATTTTATTCCAAAAGTATTAATTTGGAATTTTCTAAAGAAAATCGTAGCTTTCAAAGAAGTCTTAGTCTAGGTGATGCATTATATTAAAGGAACACCTTTACTTCCTTTGAAAACTTTAATATCAAAAAACATCATTGTTTAATTACAGTAATATAGTGATTTATTTCACTCTATAAACTCATTGTTGTAATTCAGATAATTTTGTCTAATAAAAATTTGTTTTATGAAATTGATTGAACAATTTCTCCTTGTTGTATTGAGAAGAGATGTTTCTTCGACGAAAACAGTTCTTCTATGAATATTTGCACCACATCAACTAAGAAATTTGAATTCTACTATATAATACCGAGTAACATTCCCGAATCCATATCTTTCTCAGCTAAATTTTGTTTTTAGAATCTTGAAACCGTCAACTACTAAGTTCTAAACTTGATTCAAGTAATAATCTTCTTGTTTAACTTCGTGATATATGAATGATCGGCAAAAAACAAAGTCTGAAGCACCGCAATCAATGTATTATATTAAAAATCGTATTGTGCAATTCCAAATTTTTTGCTCAGAAAAAAATAAAATAACGAGGTAACGTACTCAAAATGGCTGATGAATTAGTTTCAACACTTTCTAAGAGACAATTAGTTTCCACGATGATAGGATCTGATTGTCTGCAAAGTGTTCTTTCCAAAATGTGTGATTTTTTGCAAAAACACGAAGATAAAATATATACTCTTCTTGATAAGATCGAAAAGAAAGTCGAGAACGAAGAATACTTGAAAAAGATAGACGAAATTAATCAAGCTATTACCAAAACAAATGAAACAATCAATCACAATAAACAAGAATTTACAGATTTCGCGGAAAAAATGCAAAAACAGCTTGATGAAATAGTTGCAAAACAAGATAGAGATCAAGTTACAGTCATGGATAAGATTGATGAAACTCATAAAGCACTTCAAGATCAAGTTCAAGCTCAGCATCTTATAAGTACAACTTCTATCTCAAAACTTAATCAAAGTATAACGGAAGTTCGAACACTTCAAACAAATGTTAATAATGATGTACAAGAAATGCGTGAATTACTAAAACAAACTGGAATTTCAACATTAAATATTATGATGGAACGTTTAGATCAAGATGATGATAAATTCGATGCATTTAACAACTCAATTAACAATATACAAGACCGTATTGAACAGCTTGGACAACATTTTGGCGAAAATCTTGATACTTTCAAACAGCAGACTTCACAAGATATTACACGCATTTCTCGTCAATTAGATGACATACAAACACAATTCATGACAAATGATAAACTTAACGCACCAGTATCACTTGATGACGTTAGCGAAGCAGATATTACTCCATTGATATTAGCTGTTCATAGAGATACAAGAAGACTTGATGGTGTTGATCAGCAAATTTCTTCGGTCAGATTAGAATGCGAAAATATTTCAGGGGCAATGGAGAATGCTCAAGTTGCATTACAAAAGTTTAATCACTCTATTTACGATTTCCAATGCCAATTGGATGGAACGAGAAATGAAATTTTATCAAGATTCCAATTACTCGATCCATTCTTCAAATGGCTTGGAGCAAATGTCAGAGATTTATGGAGTTTCTTACAACAAGTGGGAGCATCCACATTCCATGTCGCTTCTTCATCACTTCGAGCACAAGATGATTTATATAATTTAATAAGTACGATTTCAACAAGACCTCTTCCTCCAATTCACTCCCTTGATGAAATTATCATCGAGTCAAGCTCTACACAAGATCAACTCCACGAAAGAAGAATGAATGTTGACTTCGAAAAGCAATTTGGAGATGTTAAAGGTATTTTCAAGAAGAGATGGAAAACTCCAATATCTAAAGAAAAACCTAACGAAATTCCTGACTTCAAGAAGACGCTAGAACCTAAAGCTCCTTCAGCTTTGATTGAAAAAACAGGAGTTCTCAATAGGAAAGGGCCTGTTACAGGTGTTAAAGAAGATCCAATGTTAATGATCACTCTTGAAGAGATTAGAGTTAAAATTAACAAGTTTGAACAGAATATTCCTCAATTTACTGATGAAGTTCAAAATATTATTAAATCAATGTCAACGAAATTGGACACAAAGATGGCTATCGCCGATTCTGATCGTCTGTTTGAAACTGTTCAGCATACATTGAATAAATTGCAAACAGATATGGATAATTTGAAAGTCAAGGTTGTTGAAACTCAATTAAACAATAAATACATACCAGAAGATCATATGAATCTAGCTGATTCCTTTGTAGCAATTAGTTCTCGGCGAGGAGATCTAAGTGCTTCAAGTTTGCAAGTTCGAGGACCTCACATGACTCGACCTTCAACGGCTCAGTCCACAAAGCCGAAAACTACACGGCCTAAGCCTATTCCAATGACGGCAAACAAGTTGGCATCTGATAATCTTCAAGTTAATGCTGTAGGGTTTTAATACTTGATCATTCATTACAGACTCAAGAACAAGCTATAGTTTTGTTTAATATGCGTTAATATTAATATATTACTTTTATCTTTTTTTGTTTTATAAATAATTCTATTTTTAACATATTCGTTTTTCCCCAAATAGTTAAAAATTATTAGATATCATACTGTAATGCTCTAATGGTAACTAAATTTTGATCATCTAATCTTTTTTCTACAAGAACTGAGTTTGAAGTTTATAAAATCCGTTTTCAGATAAACACACAGATAATTTTTTAAGTTTCAAGATAAAAATTTTCAGTCTTAATAATGTTCGATGATGATTCTCCCTTCGCTGAAAGACCAGAAAAGAGAGCATTAAGACTCGTCGGTGTATTAGGACCATTTCTTCATATTCATAGAAAATTGATCAAAGAAGCATATGATCAACGAAAAATTACAATCTTACATTCTCCATTATCATGCTTTATTATTAAATTTCGACTTGCATTAGGTGAAGATGAACTAGCAGAATATACAATGTCCCCTACAGACTTAAAAGGCACAGCTTCAGATTTTCATCAATTATTACTTTTCTCATATCCTGTTGAAGTACCAGAACAATTCTTTATTCTCGATGATTTCAATGTTGTAATTACACTCACACATAAATTAGAGGATTTTGATTCTGTTTTTGTTGCAAGAGGAAAAGTAAATCATTTATTCGGTGATGTTATCTTTACTTTATCAGATGGAAAAGATACAAAAGTAGATAGAGCTATCATTACTGACTTATTAAAGCATCATATCAATGATTTATCAATACCTTTGTATAGATCTCCTTCTCCGATGCTCAGTGATATAGCATCACAATCAGTAGACTTGTTTTCTGGCTTAGCACAAATGGAAACAACAATGCCATACGTTGGAGATTTAGAAAAGTATTCAGGAACGGTAACGAACACATTCGCATGCATTGTTACATCACCTGCTCAGGGAATATCAGCCCAAGAGCTAGATTGGACAAAATTCAGACGTCCAAGATTTTTCAAAGATAATTCAACTCCAACATATGATAAAGTACCACATCTCAAACAGATCATCAATTGTCCATTCATTTCTGGTATGACTGATGCAGATTTTGAAGCTCTAAAAGAATATCCAAAATATGTTTCAACATTTCCTTCAGGATTCTTAAAACTAGCATCACGAGACATGTTTGTATCATCACCAGACCTTCCTTTCAGTATTGCTTTATACACATTGACTTTAGAAGATCCAACACAATACATTTGTCGACATGCGACAAATTGTCTTTACAGAGCCCCATTAAATGTTGTCAAAACATTTATTCCATGTGTTGTTCAAGTTGCCATAATCTCTAAAGAAGCCAAAGACTTTCTTCTTGACAAATGCGCCGAAGATGATGAAATTTGTGTCTCAACATACTGGAATTTGATGCTAGAATCGGAAAACAAAGCCCAAGGATCGATGGCCCAGCGAATTCTAGCTGATCTCCTCAAAGTTGTAAATAAAGAAATTATTGCTGACATAGAAGTCGGAAGAAAGGAGCTTGATAGGCTAATGGAGATTGTAAAAGGTGTTAAAACGGTCCCAAAGGACTCTCAGATCAATTTCTTGAAGGAAAAACTTGGAGATGGTCATGTCTCAAAACCATTCAGACTTCCGATCATGCCGTCCTTTATTGTGCATTCAATAAGCTTAGAAAACATCATCGTTTTCGGTTCCAGTTTACAACCTGTTAAATTTGATTTTCTCAACGACAAAAAGCAAGTTTACTCGGCCATCTTGAAGTACGGTGATGATATGAGGCAAGATGCATTAGCTCTTAACACTATAAAGTTTATTGATGATCATTTAAAGGGTTATGGATTAGATTTGTGCATGTCACCGTATAAAGTGCTTCCAATTTCCAAGGTTTTCGGTATGATGGAATTTATTGTTGGTGCCAAAGCTGTTTCTAAAGTTTTGGAACAAAACAATGATAGCATCTCAGAATTTTGGGACAAAAGTGAAGGAGATATGCCTAGGCAAAGGTTTATTAAGTCTAGTGCGGCATATTCTGTTGTTTCTTACGTGTTAGGAGTTGGAGATCGACATTTAGATAATTTATTAGTGTCGAAGAAAGGAAATTTCCTACATGTAGACTTCGGATACATGTTTGGAATTGATCCTAAGTTTGTTCCTGTTACTGTTCGTGTTGTAGAGCAAATGACTAACGCAATGGGACCAGATGGAACAAATGAGTTCTTAAGATTGTGTTCTGTTGTTTTCGTTGCTGTTAGGCATATTGCAGACGAGCTTTGTTGCAGTTTGGCAATGATGATGAAGGCTGATTTGCCTCATTTACCAAAATCTGCAGCTGTTTTATCTAAAACAATGCTTCAGAAACTTGCATTGGATATGAGTGATGAAGGAGCTGGAGATTTGATAAGACAAGAAGTTATTGATGCAATCACGGCATTAAGACCAATGTTTGCGGAATATATTCATAGATTTGTTCAGAAATTATAAAATAAAGAATTTTATATTAGTTTTATTGTCAGTAAAATAACTGTAGATATTTAAGAAACTATTATCCTAATAATAAACCTTTTTTTAAAGGAAATTGAAAATGAAATGTTGATTTACATATTAATAATTTAAAATGCTATACAGCTATCAGCTTAGCTATGATAACATAGTTCATAGGTTATTCAAGAAGTTTATTTGTGACAAATTTCTGTTATTTCGATTTCAGACCAGAAATTGTGATTATAAATCCTTGAACAAGCACGATGATAAGTGCATCAAACGTCAGATGGAGATATTCCTTCCACATTGCAGACTTGGAGACAATCAAGATCTGAAAAAAAATGTCCCTTATTGTATTTTATGAATAAAAGGTATGCCACAGGAACTATGAGCTAAATTGATAAACGTTGCATGGGTTTTATTTGAACTGATACCATAAAAAAATTGACAAAATAATTGGGCAGTTTTTATTTGAAAAATCAAGCAAAAGCCATAACAACCTGAAACAAATTCAAAGTATAATTAGCCAATGAATTGGAAATTATTTTGAATTAAAAATTGAATTGCACTCTCAAAAATTACAAAACGGAACGCGGTGTATTTATGCAAGATGTAGTTAATAATAAATTTTCAAAATATGAACCAATTCCGAATTATTTAGAGTTTGATAGGGAAATACAGAAATTGAAAAAGTGCCATCATATCACAAATTATATCAGATGGAAATCTATGATCTTCAGAATATTCAATTCGAAGAGCTGGCGCAAGAACTGGAATATACTGTCGACCTTGAGAGAGCAATGATCCTCAAAACCGAGGAAATTCCAAAAATATTAGACTTTTTATACGTTAACTACTCAAAATACATCAATGATACATCAAATGTTATTTACACGTCCCTAAACAAGCCCATTGGGCTGAACGCCAGAAAGCCAAAAGCGTCCTTTAACCAGCTATCTTCATATCAAAGGTTATCTGAAATTTTTTCGGAAGTAGCAACGCAAATCAGTTTGATGTTAAAAGAAATCAAAGAATATTTAATGCCAAAACTTAACTTTTGCATTGAATACGCGACGAAAACAACCGAAGAAATTTTCACTTCCTCAAAAGAGCTCGAAAAACTCTACCAAGAAACTAGGGCAGGAATTGTTTCTAATTACGCATCACTAAACTCCCTTGCCAAAGACATTGTTACGTATAAGAAAAAGAATGATACTGCAAAGTTGCAACATATCACATATCAATACATGAACAAGCTCAAAGTCTCTAAAGTCATGTCAAGGAACCTCAACTACCAATTTAGCCATTACGACAAGTTCGCAAAGACATCAATTAAAAAATTGAGAGAATTGGACATGGCAAGAGCCCAAATCTACTTAGATTTCATTCTTAAATTATCGGACATATACACCGATTCATCTCTTAATTACTTAAGAGTATTTGCTGAAATGGAAAAGAAATATACGAAATATGCCAAACTTTTCTCAGGAGAAAAATATTTGGAAGGATTTATTGCTATGCATGGCATTTTCCGGACAAACTTATCTGATGTTGCATTTTATCCACCACCGAATCCGTTTACAGAGGATCACGACTTCATCATGCGCCCAACGCATATCGATGTGCCACCTGTAGACTATCCTCTCTTCGTTGGAAAAGCGATTTACGATTTTGATTCGCGTAACATCAATGAAGTTTCTATTAGAATAGGCGAAACGATCTATCTCTATGAGAAACCATTCGGAAATTGGGTTCTTGCCTCGCACAATAAAGTATTTCCAGAAGGATTTGTTCCAACAGCAGCAATTACGACCATTTATACAAAAATGGGAATAACAATGGAGACAAAGGTCGAAAACGGAGAATATCTCGGAATTTATCCAACTGCTCATTTCATCATCGAAAAAGATGACGGAGAAAACTATATTGTTAGGAATATAGATAACAAAGTTGGTAAAGTTAAGAAGACAGATATTCTTGTTGATGAGAAATTCTTATTTATTGTAAATTTTCATGCGGAATAAAATTTTTAGTGATTGTGTTTAACTGCAATGCATTTTTATTGTTTTAGGATCAGAGACTAAAGATTTACGATTAGTTCAGTTGATTTGATATTATTTTTTTGCGATTCAAGAGAAAAGAACCAATCATTTGCCTATTAATGCCCATTAGATACATGTTCAAAATGAATTACAGATTGCAACTGGATCTTATGAGGATAATTTGGATCCAGATTGAAATGTTTTTTTATTTTTATTTCAAATTTGAACCACCTTCAAATCAGATAAATAAACAAGTTATGCGAAGAGATTTTAAGTATAATGAAATAGAGTTCCCACCTATTCCAATATTTCCAGAAAATTCGGAATATATATACTTAGATCCCAAGAAAAATGAAACAATATCAGAATGTCTAGAACGAGCATCTTTCAATTCGACAATAGTAATACCAGAAGGAACATACAATGAGAATATTCTAATCAAAAAAAGAATTAGACTTGTTGGTGAAGGAAAAGTTGTAATTAAATCAATCAATTCAGAAGATTCGATAACAATAGATTCTTCGGCAGTTCAGATATGTTCTATTAACATACTTTCAGGCAATAATCAAGCTTCAGCTCCTGTAAATTTACTCTCTGGATCTGTTGTACTCAGTCAATGTGAATTATCATCTATTGCTGTCCCAGCAATACTTACTCATACTAATGGCACTGTTTTTTGTATAAATTCTCAGTTAACTTCGACAGAAAGTCCTTGTTTCAAAATATCTGGTCGAGTAAAGGTAGAATTAAACAATTCAATTGTGCAGAAATCATCAAAGTGCGGCATTTTATGCACGGATTCAGCTCAACTCAAAGTTATAAATTCGACTATAGAGAATTGCAAAGATTCAGGAATTGTTGCACTCGGAGAAAGTTATATTTGCATACAAAAAACGCAATTTACTAATAATGGCGGAAATGCCGTTGAATTAAACACAATATCCTCAGAAAATTACTTAAAAGGCTGTGCAATCAGCCAGCACCCTCAAGGATGTGGCATTGCATGCTCAGGGCCTGGCAAATTACTTGCAGTAGACTGCATTTTGTCAGGTTTTTTGGCAGGAATCTCATTAACAGATGGATTTGAAGCGACAACAGTCAATTGCCATCTCACGAATGCCACACAGAGTGCCTTAGTATCAGCTACAAACAAAAGTTCCATCAATATGTTCAACGATCATTTAACTGGAAATTGCCAAGCTGGATTACTTGCCACAGATGGGGCATCGATATCAGCAACCAATGTACAGATAGTCAATGTCCCAAATTGCGGTGCAATCGCGTACTCAAATGCTACATTATCTCTTATGGATACTGCAATTTCGGAAGTGTTGGAGAATGGCGTTGAAATTCAGTCGGATTGCAAATTCACGTCAATAGGCTGCACAGTGGAAAACGTAGCTGCCATAGGTATTCTTGTAAGAGATAACTGTTCTGCCATTATCGACCATACTAAAATCAAAAAAGCGAAATCTGCCTGTTTACATTTTGTAAACTGTCAGAAAAACCAAATAAATGTCTCTCAATCAACTTTTGAAGGTTCTGAAGGCAATTCCGTTAATGTCAACCAATCCCCAGCGACATTTAGAGAGTGCACATTCTCTAGTAATCAATACGACGGTTTGCAGTTAAGAGGGAAGATATCTGCCCAATTTATGTCATGTGTTTTCACGGAAAACAAGGTAGTTGGTGCCAATGTAGTTGATGGAGCCAAATGCCACTTCGAAAACTGCATGTTTAACAAGAATTCCGGTACTGGATTGTCAATTCAGTCTTCAACTGCCAATTGTTCTAAATGCTTCTTCCAAGAGAACATCAAAATGGGTCTTTGTGCCTTTGAAGGCTCTTCCGTGTCGATAAAGACCTCATTGTTTAAGAATAACCTTTCATTCGGTGCCCAAATCGAGAATGAAGGGACATCTGCAACGTTCGAGAACTGTGACTTCACTGACCACTTAAATTCCGGGTCAGTTATGGTCTCAAACTCTCCAAAAGCAGTTTTTTCGAAGTGTAACTTCTCTCGGAACATGAATTCCCACATTGAGAGCCGAGAGAATGCTACAACAACAATAAAGAACTGTGAGTTCTCGACGACTAAGTGCGGAATCGGATTAATGACGAGTTTAGGCGCAAAAGTCAAAATCGAAAACTCCAAAATTTTCGATGAGAAACAAAGCGCGATTGTTGTTGGCGAGAAAGGAATTTGCGATGTGAACAACTGTGATATATCCAATTGCAAGATATCTGGCATTGCCTTCCTCCAGGAAAGCAGTGGATCTGTGAGTAATTGCAAAATTTATAAAAATGGTGCTTGTGGAATTCAGATTTTGTCTCCGAAAGTTTCTGCAAAGAACAACGAAATCCATGATAATAAGCACTTCGGAATAAGAATTGCTATAGGGTTACAGGATAATTTCTCTGAAAACAACTTCAGAAATAACTCTGAAAAAGATATTAGTTATTTAACTTGAAATTTTATGTATTTATTTTGTTTTTGTGTTTGATAATAAAAAGAAAAAAAATATCATGTTATTAAGATATTGGTGGAGAAACTACTCTTCATTATGTAGCAAAAGTAAGCCTAAGAGTAAAAAGTTTAATTCTATTGAATGTCTTGTAATCCAAGTAATAAGTGAATTATACTTCTCTTCCTTTTATTTACCGCGTTTTTATGTAATCGTACATTTGAATCAAAAGAGAATGATTTGGTATAAAAATTTAAGTGGAGAAAAACTTTAATTCAAAATACAAAAAAATGATATGATGCATGCTTGAAAATTACCTTTAAGACGAGAAATGAAGGCTATGACATATGGACACCAAACTAATATTATAAAGGGCTATGCAATCTGATTCATTTTTATTTGATTCATACCATCACGATTATTTCATATCAGCAGAAATTGGTGAAAAGAATACACTAATAAAATTGGATCTATAATTATCATTTGAAAATATAAAATAAAAATAAGCAAAACTTTAATTTTTTTATAAAAAAAAGAAGGAAAAATCATGTATTTTATGAATCCAGTTGTAAATCAAATAAATCATAAGGATTAATTAATCTGTGCATAGTTAATGCTTCACAAAAATCAGTATATGTTCCAATATCTTTGAATAAAGGCTTGTACTCACCTTTTTTTGATATGAAATATAAATATCTTACAAGTGTTTGTTCATCCTCATGAATCTCCACAAAGTCGGGATATGAAATTGAATCAAAAAATAAATTGAGGTAACTAACAAGTTTTTCATCGTCCAGCAAATTATGGTATGGAATAACAGCTTCCTTAATTAAGTTGGTGTATTTTGGAAGGAATATATCAAAATCTGAAGCGAATAAGAAAGATAATGTGTATTTAAACAATTGGAAATCATCCATTTCTATTAAAATTTTGATACAATAATTCAAAATCTCACAACAATCATTGTATTTGATTAATAGAACAGCCAAGAACTCTTTAATGCATTCATAATAATTTATATTTTTCTCATCATCTTGTATATTGAAATGTGAAGAATTAGTAGATGCCATTAATCTATAAATTTCAGATAAAACTTCTAAAATTTGTTTAACTTCTTGCTTAGATTTCACAGTATATTTGATACTTTGAATGAAAGACAATCTTTTTCTCATGTATATGAGGATGAATTCTTCATACCAAGGCTCTTTGAATGGTTTGTAAAGCTGAACAAAAGAAACTACAACAGTTACATAAGGTCCAAGGCAATCAGGAATTTCGGTGTTTCTATATAATTCTTTAAATTTCTCGAAGTTATCCCAACTAAATGGCAAACATTGAATATAATTCCAAATTTCGTCTGAATTTATTATTTCACCTTCACTATCCCAAATTGATCCGCATATTTTATTATTGATTTTTTCAAATAGTTTTGATGATGTCGATTGTATCAACTTTGGATCCAATTTCATGATAAAATGAGGCAGCATTTGCGGGAAATTCTTTTCAATTGTTTCCAAAGCGTCCTCAGCTTTCTCACTATATTCCTGAGAAGAATTTTCTTGATTTCCACCATCAACATGATTTGCGAACAAAAGAAGGGCTAAAGCTTTCACAACATCAGGTCTATTTGCTTTTGCTTCTAATAAATCTGTATATAATCTTTTTGATATATTAATTTTGATTGATGAACTGATGAAATTTGAAGCCATACAATAAATCAAATTCCCTAATTTTGATTCGAAAAATTCGATAATGTTTTTCTCATCATTTGTATATTCTTCGTTTCCATTACAAATAGAATAATGAAGAAGCAAATTTTCAAAATCTTTTTTAAGTTTTTTAGGTGTAAAATAATGTTGTTTGTACTTCAGTTCTGCATTTATCATTTTGAAATAGCTGTGTTGATAACGAAAATCATCACTGGTTATATCATATCCATACCTTGTACACCAATCTAAAAGTATTTTATTAACACTCATACTAGAAACATCAGCGTTGTCATCCTCGATAATATAAATATCACGGAGTACGGGATTTTCGTTAGAACGAATGAGTTCGGCCGATAATGAGAAATAAACAATTTTTTGGGACCCTTCATATTCATATAAATTCAAATTAATTATTTGTTTGTTTAAAAAATTTTTCAATGTTTGGATGTAAAATCGAAATTCATTTGTGTCATAACAAATCAAATTTGAATCAATATATTCTACAGCTCTATAGAAAACCGCATTAAATATTTCTTGATCTAATTTGTCATTATGGTGGATGTAACGATTGATGGAAATTAATGATTCTTGTGAAACAGAAATAAAAGTGCTGTTCAAATATGGAACAACATCTTTTATAGTTACTGCAAATGGAACTTTATATGCAGCATTAACCAAACGCACTTGTGAAACTTGTTCATCATATTTTTCTTCAGGAGATATATAATCCTTAATGATGTTTGATAATATATTTTGATCAATGTTGTCTAATCTATTTTTAACTATGCAATCAAATAATGATGTAATAAACTTAATTTTATTTATCTTGCTGCAAGAATCTGAAATTTTATTGAAATTTGAAGCTAAAAGATTAAAGTAATCATCAATTTGAGGAAGAAAAGGTAATTTGATGAGTTGTGTATGGATAAGAAGGAGATCATCATTTTTGACATTTTCATTAATGAAATTCTGAAAATTATTAAATATTTGAGTGTAAAATTGGTTGATAATATCAATGATTAAGTCTTTATTCCTATTGAAGTTTGCAATTAATATCTCTAATGTACGATTTAAAAGAGAGAAGTTTTTTTGTTGAATTAGGTCTGAGAAATTGCATTTTATAATAGAAATATATGCTAAAATATCTTGATTAAGTTCCTCTTTTTGATTTGAAAGTACCCAATCGATAAATTCAATATTGGTGTTGCGCGTGTTAATGTAGATGTGGAATTGGATTGTGATGACAAACTCTGCGATATTTTTGTTGCTGATGTCTTCAACATTATTTAACTGTTGTAAAAAAGAATCGGGCTCACATATTATTGAATTCAACTCTCTAATGTATTCTTCACTATCAGAGGATATATTCATCAACATCTCTTTGATGTTTGCTACGTCACTCATGTCGAAAAGCTGGTTTCTCTACTAAAAAATTTGGTCAAAATTTTTCCGAAAAAAATTTGACTCGTATTCATAAATATTTTTCTATTTAAACACGGTATTGAATATCTGGAGATTGATCTAACTAAAAATCAAATTGAATTATTTCTCAAAAAAGCATAGGAAAGAAAAATTTCAACAAAAGATTGTATATGTCCTTCCATGACTTGTAACACATGATTTGAGTAGATTTCTATATTCTACTGAGTATATAGCATTCAAAAACAAGACTAATTTTGATACCAACAAATATTCTTATTTTTTTCGGACTATATTTGAACAAAAAGATAAACAAATCGAAAGAAGTATCTATTGTTTATCTTTATTCTTATAGAAAAAAAAATCACATAACGTATTGAAGGACATTGTGTTGTTATCCTAAGGACTAGAAAATCCAATAAAAACGGCTATTTTGGATTCGTGCATTCTTAAAATCATTATAAATTAAAAAAAATTATTATAAACAAATGTTCATGATTTAGTAAAACAAAACAATAAAAATAACAAACAAAAAAGTAAATTCAAGTCTGAACTTCTTCGAAATCTGAATAATCTCCTTCATCTTTCTTCTGACTTTCATTTTCAGCGTCAGACATCGTTTGTGAAGAAGTTGATGACGAAGACATCAAATATTCTGTAGGAGCGTAGTATGAAGGAGGTCTAAGGGTGTCATCACTCGATGGTTCCATTGAATTATCTTTTTTTTCTTCTCTTCTGCGAATAGCGCTTTCTCTTCGTATTCTGATCTTAACTTCTTTAGGAATTTCGTCTGCAAAGTTGCTGTTTTCAGGTAAAATTTCGGTTTCTTTATTTTCTTTTTCGTTTTCAGTTTCCTTCTCTGATTCGCTTTCATCGGAAAGGAAATTGACTGTTTTGTTCTGTATTTCTTTATTACCTTGAAGATATTCCTTAAAGAAATCAAAATAAGGGAAAACACTCTCAGGAATGTTAACTGGATTAACAGTGAATTTTGTAAACACGAAAGAATTCTCGGATCTTGTATTTCTTCCTATGAAAGCGTCAACATAATTTGTAATCAGATGTAATAGCGCATTACTGTTCTTTTGTACGTATTCGATGAGATTATTACGATCGAATAGAGGACTGTGAGCTACTGGCTTCTCATCACTAACGACAGGTGAGATGAATGCCTCCATTAAATCTGCTGGAGGGAAATTCGAAGGAACAATCAGCTTTTTCACCCACTTCGATTGAGAAAATTTGATTAAATTAGGGTTGCCGTTGTTGTATTGGCTCTGATTTTTCTGTATAACGTGCGAAAACCACTCCTTAAATTGAAACAAACCGTTTTTTTCGTCAGGGAAAAGTGACAAAATTTTGAGACCTCTAATTGGTCCGACCGTGAACAATCTCTTCTTAATATCATCGTTGTAGTCACCATCGATCATCATAGCGAGCTGCAGCAGCCTTTTCCTGGTCATTCCGTACACTTCAAGCGATTTCAAAGTGATCGAATGTGGTCGCAAAAAAATATTTCGGATCAAAATTTTTGAACCGAAAAGAAAAGCGTTGTTGTCATCACTGGCTGTTGCATCGACGATTCCTTCGAGTTCTAGACGTGCGCATTCTGCTGTGGACTCTTCTGGGGCTATGATATAAGGGACATCCATGACATCTAATAATCCTTTGACAGCTCTTATGTGATCTGCTGTTACGTAGTTCTCTACGGGTGGTAGATATGGATTGTCAGCTGGTAGTAATGATATTGGCTCAAAATCATCTTTATCGTCGTTTGGTATTTTTTCATTATTTTTTTCTTCTGAATTTTCTTCTGGATTCTCGTCAACACTGTTTAGGAGTTCTTTGTATTCGTTTATGAAGTCTGTTGTGAATTGTTCTGACTTTGGTTTTGGAGATGGAGCAACAACGTCTTTTGGAACGGGTTCTTTTATTTCTGGGGTATCATCTTGTGGTTTGAAGATATAAGGCGTCGTAATTTCACTCCTGTGAACAGTCATAGGTTTCTTTGCAGGTGCAGGTAATGTTTTAACAAAATTTAACTGTGAAAGTGAATATTGAAGAGGATCTGATTCGCGTAAGATTTCCCTCCTCTTCTTTGGACTCTTATTTTGTATTTCTTCTAATGTTTTCGTTGCAATTTTTTCTTGTTCTTCAGTTCTTTGTGGGGGATTGGGCTTTGGAGGTTCTTGTGGGATAGAATTAGCTGTTCTGATAAGAATTGATCGAAGACGTGTTTCATCTTGGTCTAATAACCTACTAAACATTTTTTTATTGGAACTACTACCTTGAAATACAACAATAATGCTGATGTTGTGATGCATAATTGTAAAAAGGTCTTTCATTAAATAAAAAAGCCAGTTACCGCCATGATTTCCATGTAACATTCGATTTAAATGAGAATTGATATCTAGGGCGATTCTAGATCCTGAGTAGTAATCAAGACTCACTGGTTGTGATGCTGTATCTAATATCCTCCACAGTCCAGGAACTCCCATAAAAATTTTGACACAAAATGAGTCAAAATTTTAGATTTCACTTGTAAATTGTTGCTATCATCTTGATATTGAAAGTTACTAAATTTGAGATGCGAAAGAAAGGAATTTGTCAATTTTTTGAAATGAGTAACTACGACAATCCACAGCCAAAAGGAATTCCCAATGAAATTGGAAAAGGATGTTGGTTTGCTGCAATGTCGCAAGTACTTTTCAGGCAGAAAGAAGTGCGATGTGCAATTCGTGATTTTCCAGTTCCAGAACTAACTGATGATAGCGAATACAATGAATACATCAATAATTTATTGCTTTTAAAGAAATATTTTGAGCAAATTGCTACGCCAAATGTTCAAATTTCTAATCAAGAATTGATATATTCATTAAGATATGGAACAAATAAGCTATTTTCACCAGCCGAAACTGGAAAAGAATCTTCTGCGTTATTAACATCGCTCGTACAGCTGTTTAATACACTCAAAGGTTCAAAAAATACAAGTTTAATTACATTAGACACTCCGTTTAAAGATTTCGAACAAGTTTATAATTCTCCATCAACTGGAAAAAGCGGAATTAAATATTCATCTCATTGTTACCTTGAAGAAGGCGAAAACATCAGATCTGCCTTCATTCGTTCGATTAGCGATATTTTATATCTTCCAAAACTACTATTCCTTGAATGTAATGATCGAAATGAGGCTTTTATGCCTATTATTCCTGAAATGGAACTTCCAGAACCAATCGAATACAGAATGAAAGGGAAAGATGAAAGAAAATGTGTTTCCAAGGTTCACTACAAGCTTGTTGCACTTGTAGTTTATCTTGGAAGCGATGGAAGTCATGCTAATGCATTAATACTCGACGAACCATCAAATTCCTGGTATTTCTATGATGATTCTACTGTAACTAAGCAGCCTAATTTCCCTAATGATCCATCTCCTCTTGGAAGGTCACATTGGGCCAAAATGTACTTGTATCGTAGACAATAAAGTGTTTATTTTCGAATTTTTATTGAATTTTGCTAATTTTTCTTTCACTGAAGTTTTGAATGTGGAAGACAAATGAGATTTTGGGATATAAATATATTAAAATGATTTTTACTTAAACTACTACGATAAATATATTAGATAGGAAAAACCAAATCATAACAACGTGAAACTTTTTTCGAAAAATCTCCAAATTTTTCTTAAAATTTAAATTATGACTTAAATTTTAACAATTTTTCATTTTATTATTTTAATTTCAAATAATTTTTGGAATTTCATGAAAACATTATTCATGCATGTATAGCTCAATAAGCAATTTTAACATAAAGAAATTATAGAATTCTTATTTTTACATATCCAATAAAAATTTTCAACGTTAAAAGATAAAAATTGATTCATAAAAACAAACACTAATATTTATACAAACATTAAACAGTAATATGATCGAAATTATTCATGTATTTTTCGTAATTTTTGCCGGAAGTAAATAGATACATGGTATTTACTCCAGATGTACTTTCATAACCCCTATGGCATGGGCAGAAATAGAAGCAACATAAGTTCTGATACCTACTAAAAGTAATTAAAAGAATTATGATGCTTGAAAGGAGTAAGATCGATGAAAATACGTAAGATATGATATTTCCCACGTAAACATTTTTGTAAACGTGAGTTGTTTGGTTGATACAACCATAATAAGTTGCAGACTTATATTTTGTATCATTATATATAGACATCTCGGAAGTAAGATTCATGTAGAAGTACTCTAAGTCGGATTGCGTATCTTTCTTTTGAGGAGGTCTTAATACAATTGTAATTGGATATTTTTCAACTTGTTGAGTATGAGAGAATGAAGTACTTGGTTTTAATTCCATTTTATGATACGGACCTTCGTATAAATGGATTGAAGGACAATTTGTACATTCGCCTAAAACTCCGTTAATATTTTGATGATATTTAGATGCATATAGATAACATTTTATCATATCAAAGTTTGTTGAGAAAAAATCTTGATTTTTCGTAATTTGAAAAGTGTGGTTAGTTTTTGGCGAATCTTCAATATAAATCTCAGTACATCCGTGAGTTTTGAAGTCGGACATTGAGAGTGTCATTGATGAGGCACCAATACTACGAAATACGTAATATTCATCTTTTGTTAACGCGCGATCTATTCTTCCTGAGTTCGATATATTAAAACTGTATATGAACTTATCTTCTGTTCCAGTATTAGATTTCATATATTTCGTAACTGAAACAAAATTTGGCGTGAAAAAAGATAAATAAAGCGGTACTGATTGAATTTCAAGTGAAACACATTTATCATGGCTGATTCCAACAAAATGGCTCTCAGCAATTCCACTTGAAACCAAACGCGTAAGGCAAATATTTGATAAAGGCATCTAAAATTTTTGGCAAAACTGCTTATCGGGAGATAATGATAGCGTGCAAACTTTATTTTCTGTAATAGCTTATCCTCTATGCTTATAAAAGACATTATTTGGTAAAGAATGCGATCAAATTTCCAATGCTGGTAAAATTTTCGATATCGAGGAGGAATCTGAGTCAATAATACTACTTATCTTAGTAGGTAGAGTGTAACAATAATAACCATTCAAGCAGAATCGATTTGGCTTCAAATTTTTTTATGAAATATTCCAGAAATTAAAAAACTAAAGGATAGAATTTACAAACAACAAAATAATATAAACAATTATTTCTTAAATTGCCTGATGAAGAAAACAAGCATAACAAAAAACAAAACAAACATCACGGCCAATGCGATGAAATGATATTTGAACTTTTGGAAGAACATTCTTCTTTGTAACCAACGCGCGGATCTATGAACACTTCGATCTATTTTTGGTTCGGCTTTTGGTTGTAAATTTTTCAGAGAATCACCCTGAAGTAAAGTATTCTGTAAAGATGTCATTACCGATGACTTATTTTGAAGATCTTTATCCGATGTCCCTGAATTCGAAACATTATTTTTGAAATTCTCGTATATCTGTCTCATCTGGGGTTCGAACTCACCTTGAAATTCAAAAGGCTCTGCATCTCCCCATTCAAATGGAAATGAGACCACGAATTGCTTGTAGATATGTTCTAAAATCGAAAATGCATGAGTTGATTGAACACTTTGATCGCAACCCATCAAAGTGTTGATACCATTTTTATTGTGGTAAATATAAAAGCGATATCCACCTCGGTCAATTTGAATTCTTTGATTTTGAAGGTGAGATTTTGCAAGAATATCCGAAACTATTGTATCAAAATCACCGCTCTCTATTGCACATTGTGCTAAAATTGTTGCATTTCTAGTAATGGCTAAATAACTTATTGACATTTTATTTTTGTCACATTTTTATATTTCCTGATTTCGAACTTTAAATCAACCGATCTCATCAACATTTAGATTTCTTATACCACAAATGTGATATACAATGGCTTAGGCAACCACACTCTTGAGTTATCTAAATAATTGACTGATATCTTTAAAAAAATTTCATTAATGAAAACAAAGCCATTATTCATATGTTTGTAAACAAACTAAGTATTCTAAAATACTATATATCTTTTATTCAAACATAAAATTTAATATATAAATTTCAAGATCATTTGGTTCTAAAAATAATTATGTAAATCAATTACAAATCATTTGCAATTCCATTGGCGTGGAATGGATAGAATTGAGGGTCAGGCTGAGAAATATTTGGATGTCCAAAAGAGTCTCTAACCATTTTTGTTTCGTTGTTTTCAATTGGAATGTTATCTTCTTCATTGAGATATTTTGTAACATCATTGCACTGAGAAACACCTTCGTTTTTCCCTAATTCAGCAATTTCATTTGCTAGATCATCGATGTCATCTATATATTTCTTTTTATCTTCAACATTTTCAGGAACTTTGACGCATCTCAACATAAACGCAAGATGTATTGCTCCAATAGGAACTTCATTGAGGGAGTTTTTAAGATATCTGATTGATAATTCTTTATCTATTTTGCATCCAAATCCTAAAATAGTTTTTCTTGCAAGTCTGTAATAAATTTCACCATTTTTAGGTTCAAAATTCTTGAGTGTTTCATATGATTTTGAATTTTGACCCATTAAACTTTGTGAAATTGATTTCAGAATGCAATCAACAGGATCATTCACTACATCAACTGCATGAAGAATTGATTCCTTCAATAATTTTCTATGCTGTTCATTTGGCTCAATTTTGTGCGAATATAAATCTTTTGCACGTTGGAATAAAATAGAACCAAATGAAGATTGTTGAAGAAGATTAGAAACTTGATCTTCTTTGATATCATTATAATAACACCAAAGCAATAACAAACCTTTTCCAATTGCAAAATCACTTGGATGATATTCCGAATACTCCAATAAATATGGTAAAATATCAGAAACTCTACCTTTTTCTTTAATTGAAATAAGAAGTAAAACTTCCAATCTCAATCCAATTTCTTCAATATTATCCATGTAATCTTTGATGCCATCGAATGCAGAATATAATGCGTTGGAGTTAACAGAGACTTTCCAATCAAATCCATTATTATATCCGAAGTAAATCAAAGCAAAAAATTCACAAGCTGTTGTGAAATTAAACTTTCGATATAAATCTGTATTTGAACTAATAGAAAGTTGTTTTCTCATGAATTTGTAAGCATCAATAATTTTCTGTGGATCGTAATATCCATAAATCAAAGCCATTTCAGTAAAAGTAGATCCTGTATCTATATTATATTTATACAAAGATGATTCAAGACATGAAAGTCCAAACATTGGATCACGAAACTCTGAAAGAGAAGTCAAAAATTTAAGTCCAGCAATTGAATAAACCAAGTCATCATCCATTTCAAGGCTTTCTTTGTATAATGTTGATCTCATTTTATCATTTGGAATAAAAAGATGGCTATTTGATTGCATCATTTCTGCAATCATGAATTTAGCTTCAGGATCACCATATTTTGCTCCTAAAATGAAATAATCTAGAGCCCTTTTTTCATCAACAATTATTCCATACTTTGAATACAAGAAAATTTTTCCAAGTTCTGTGTTTGCTTTTGCAACAAACTTTGAATTATTTTCATAAGAAGCAGCTCTTAAATAATGCTCAAAAGCTTTAATATCAACACCATCATACATTTGTGCGATTTGATATTGAACAGCAGCTCCATATTTTGCATCGAAATCATCTTGATGAAGTTTAATTAACGCATTTGATTTTAGATTTGATAAACCTCTAAAACTACTAATATACTTCCTGAATTCGAAGTAATTTGTTTCAGGGAACAAAATCCTTTCTGTCACCATCTCTTTAGCTAATAAAGACAGTGAAACAAATCGATATTCATCATTTAAATCTTTATCATTTTTAATTTTGTTGACGAAAGGATGAATATAAAAAGTTTGAAGCCATGAATCAAATTTATCAATCTTTTCCTTGTCAATAAGAATTTCATTCCTTATAGAATTATATAACCGGAAAATATCCTTTTGAAGCATTTTCTGATTGATATCATAATCTGTAACATCATTTTTAACTTGTTTAATGAATTTAATTAATTCATTTCTATTTGCAGCTTTCGATAAACGTTCAATTAATGCAGCAAGTTGATAAATATCATCAGGTCTATCTAATGTTGGATGAAATACTTGGCTTACGCTTGCCCTTGGATCTATTTGACTTTTTTCTTTCCAACTAAAATCAAAATCAGTTAAAATTGGTTGAAAATTATGATCAATTAAAACATTATCTTCTCTAATGTCATAATGAACAATTCCTTGTTCTTGTAATTTAGAAATAGTCATTAACAATCCAAAAACAATAATTGATTTTTGTGTATTATTTATATCATAAATAATATCTTTCAATGATTTGTATCTATATAATGGCATCACTGATTTTCCATTGATTGTGTGCATTTCTACAATTGATGGATATTTTGCTATTTCTATTTTCGGAAGTGAATCTTTTATCATAAAAATAAATCCTGTTTTGTAATCAACATAAAGATAAACAGCAGATCTATTTTCGCTGTTTAGACCTGTGATGAATCCTTTTGTTTTCATATATATCGCTTCGTTTATTTCGTCATCGAATTGGATACCTGAAATACATTGTATTCGATGACGTTCTTGAAAGATGGAAACAAGACCATAAACAATTGTCCAATAGAAAAATTCAAAAAAAGATGGAATGTTTTGTGGATTTCTTAAACCAGTTTTTTCTGGTTTAAGATTGAGAAATCCAACAATATGTTGCCTGAAATACAATGGTTGCAGTTCATACTGACTTGTAAGTTTGTTTTCGGGATCAAACCAAATACATTTTTGAGAATTTCTAATTTTTTGAATGATTTCCAAAGATTCTTTGATTTCTTCGTTGTAACTTACTATAGCAATGCAGTTAATAGTGGAAAGAATATCGCATGAACGTATTGATGTTTTTGAATCTATTTTTACTTCAATGTATCCAGTAATGACATTATCACGAGGGTTTTGGAAGTTCTTTCTTATGTATTCATCTGCAAGATCTAGATCTGTCAAGTATATTGATTTGATATTGTGTTCTCTCGATAATTTAAAAGAATATTCTTTGTTTGGAACAATTTTTATATCTTTATTGGGAAGGTAAGGATTGTATAAATCAATGCAATCTGGTATTTCGTTTTGATTAAATTGATGAAGACAATATGGAAAATAAATTTCTTTAGAAACAGCATTTGCGATTGCAATTGCACAAGCATATTGATCGTTTTCATTTGTAAAGTATTTTTTGATGGTTTCTTCTGGAAAAGAAAAGTATTGGACTTTTAATGATTTAAGATAATCATGATACTCTTTGCTTGCGGTAGAATTAATACCGAAAAATAGAAATTTCACTTCTCTGTTGTCATCGTCAAGAAATGCTAATTGATTGTGAGTGATTTTGGATTTTGACAAATAAATTCGTTGTTGGAATTCCTCTATGGAGGCTTTAAATTCAAATGACCTCGTTTCGAATCTTGACATTTGAAGATCAAAAAGACGGGATAGCCTTATCGTAGTTTTACCTATATCAATTCCAAACATACAAAATCACAAATGAAATTTAGTATTAATTCATTTGGAATTGCTGAAGTTTGGAAGCAATGAATCATATATTCTATATTAAAACATTTTTCATTTGTAATTTGTTTTTCCATTTGTTTAAAATTATAAAAATGTATATCTACAAAAAGCCAAATAAGTTTAGAATTGATTGTTTCGCATTTCAGTCAGCAATTCAACATTCATTTGTGTTCAATGTTTGGGCTATTTAGACATATAATAGCTTTGTTGATTACAATGTGATAGTTTAATTTACAAGTTAAAGAGTGTCAAAACAATTTAATATTTTTAATTTTGTCCATGATATATAACTTTATATGATGGATTTCAACGATTTAAAAATAGGTATTTTGAAGAATAGTTGATGAAATTAAGCATAAAAACCTGTATGCTACTAAAGAATTTCAAATTTGAAAATCAAATCATAAAGGAAGCATTTGAGGTAAATATTATTCCTTAAACTCACATAATGATGCAAAATCGATAATAAAGACAAGATTGTAGAAAGATTGAATGAGAGATCAATTAGGTTTCAACTTTATAGTAAATATTTTTGGTGAAAATAAAAGAGTAAGAGTTATAAAATAAAGGAAGATCTAAAGATTTTTCCCAACGTAACAAAAGTATTGAAAAAAAATTGAGAAATTTACATTAGTAATCAACTTTTAATTATGAGAGGTAATTGGTGTATACGATAATTTTGCAATAAAATCTTAAAACCGCAAAAAAGACTTGCTTTGAAAATAATATCGTTGTTAAAAAATTAAGAATTAGAATTGGAATATATATTTGAACATATAATACGATGAAAACGTTTGAATTGATATTAACCGATAAAAAGTTTATCATATCGAAAATGAAATATGAATTGAAATAAAGAATGCATGAGGAATCAAAAAGAAAATTCATATTATTCATTAATTGAAGGCTGTACACAAAAAAGAATGGGGTTTAATTCAAAAATGAATAAATTTATTTATATATCTATAGTATATATATCTAAACCCGAATATCATATTTTGAATTTTTTGATTTTTGTATCGCATTCAATTTATCACAAAAATCAAATATTTTTGAATAAATAAAATATCTATCAAAATTAAAAATATGATTGATATTACATTATAGAAACAATATTGAACTATCATGAAATTGAATTAATTCAAATTTGTTCGATTCAATTTCAAAACACTGTCAAAATGAAAAATTGCACATAGAACTAAAATCACCTTATAGCAAGCTTTTAATTTTTTTTAAAATTCATATATATTGAATGCCATTTAAAAAAAATGTTTTCAATTAATTGAATGATAGATGCTAAAAATGGTTAAAACATATCCATCAATCGAATTAATCCACATACTTTATAAATATCTAACGATAGTTGACGGTTTGTTATCACTCATCACAAAAATCAAAGTTAAATTGAGAACAATTTTTTCGAACATTCAAAAATCAAATATTCTCATTAAACTTTAACTCCAAGATTATTACAGTATTTCCAGCAACTTTTATTTTCGTTCCTATAATTTATGAATTCAATACCATACAAAAGTAAATTGTTTCATTTTTCTTACTGTCGAAATATGCAAGCGTACATCATCAAATTCAACATGAACTTGGAGTTCTATGTCCCATTCGAGGCTCCCCTCACAGTTGGCGAAGTCAAAGACGAGATGTTCCTTCAGCTCGAGATCCCATCCAACAAAATGATCCTTATCTACAATGGTCAGATCCTTAAGGACAAAGTCTTACTCTCAGATCTTGGTGTCAAGGATGGATCCATTCTTTTCTTACAGGTTCCCCGCTACGAAAACATCTTCCTTCAGTCACCAAAGCGCATGCTCAACGAAGTTCTCTCTATCTTCCAGAGCATCAACATCATTCCAGATGAATCATTATTAGATGCTATCCAGACAATCAAGAAGTACATCGAATCCCCAATTCTTAAGGCTTTCTCCAAAGTTCTTCCAGAAATTACAGAAATTTTCGAAGAAATCGAAAATTACATTCAAGAAATTGAATGCCCATATGATGACTCTGTTATCGAAACAATCTCAAGAATCCACGATAACTCCTTCTACAACTCCGAATTCTTCGAGAGCGATTGCGGCGCAGTTATGAAACTTGAATCCAACGAAGTTTCTCTTTATGAGACAAAGTGCCAATGCAAGCTTGAACCTCAGGAAGATATCGAAATTTCAGACTTATCGTTATCAGATGAAGAAGAACCAACAAATCTTAACTACACACCTTGCATCAGCACAGCTCCCCTTCCATTATACGACCCAGATGCCTGCAAATATTCCTCAATCTTTTAAGACGTATTTTCATATCCTGCGATTTTGTTTGTATGTTATATAAAATAGATAATTATATTATATCATATGCTTTTTTAAACAATTTCCCAAAAATCTTAGAACTGTTGTAAACCGTTTTCTTTTGATCGTTAGTTTTGGCTTCAATCGAATTACTCTAAATCAACGAATGGATTCGAAATCTTCCACTTTCTCTATATAGATGTCTTGATATTATAATCCTTGCGGCTTATAATTATGATTATTTGTTAATTTTTAGCATATTTTTTATTGTTCCATTTTTGGAATTCAAAGATTGATGATTGATTTAATCTCCAATCAGTTTCATATCAGATGAACATTAGATCGGCATGTGAATAATTCAGAAATCTTGGAAAAGAGTTTTTCACTTCATTTTTTGTCAATGTGACAAAAGTGACAATATGACAAGCATTTATTTCTCTCATTATATAGTTAAATATTTATAAATATTTTCGTATTTCCGATAAATCATTCAATTTTGACCATTTTATTGAAAAAATCAAAATTATAAATGGAGAGATTTCCTGAATATTTTCGTGATTGTTTTACTAATGACCTCAGAATGCTTGACCTTTTGTCTATGAGAAATGATCCATCACTAATATCCAGGGGTTTTGCTTCATCTGTATCAGAAAATCAAGTTTTTAATTCTTTGCCTTCTTTTAATAAAGAAACTATCTCGAAAGTCACAAGTGAATACAAATCAAAGCATGAATTACGACAAGCATTGCAGAAATACAATATCAGCAATGATTTTAGCCAACAAAAATTTCTTGAGGCTATTACTTTAGTTCAAGAAGATTGCAGCGAGATAAATAATTTTTTATTCTTATACGAGGTGCTCCTATGACTTGGACAAACAGATGATAAAATTACCTTAATTTTATTCAGAAAAATTTTAGAAGTTTTTGCCTCATTTACAGAAGCCAAGTTATCGCAACTCAATCATATTGCATTTATGTCTTTTAGTGTTTTTGGGCTTACAAGTACTTTATTTGAGCTTTCAAACGTCGAAATTTCAATTATTATCAAATACTTGATTATTAACGAAAATATACCACCAGAATTCTTCCCACTACTTATGTTACTTACAGATTATGCTGCAAATAGAGAAGATCAGATTTATCGCTCAATTATTAACTCAATTAATACAATTTTTGAGGAGAAACGACCAATCATCCAACCAGAGAGTGTTCACATTCTTTCCCATATACTTGTTAACAAAATAAATCAACTTGATCCGGTCGCAATTTTATTAACTTGTAATTGCGCGAAATATTCCGAAAAATCTACTCTCATGGACATATTCTTGTTATTACCATCTCATATTCTCAATTCTCTTTCAGAAGGACAACATTTTATTGATGCGAAAGATTTTACGACTCCACGCGAGATTAAGAATGACGTACTTACAGTAGATGAGATGCACGTCATGACAATGCCGAATCAGAGCACAATTGAGAACGGATTAAATTATTCCGAAATTGTCTCTTGGAATATCTCAGAACTCGTACAGCTTATTCAACCTGTCATTGGTAAAGTGAAGCCAGCAATTGCGACTCAGTTTCTCAATTCAATTCAAGCAATTGGAAAAATTACAAAAAAATCTTCCTCAAAAAATCGATTTCGCTTTAATTATTGCACCTCTCATTCAAGAGCTATCAAATCAAAACGATATTACAGCTGTTAAAGAGTGTTTATTCGATGAAATAATATTTAATCCAGATGTAACATTATTCCACGAGAATCCACCCAAATATCTCAATTTCGTGCGTAATACAATGCTAAAAGCATGCTGCAAAGACAAATCTTTGCTTTCAGATGTACTTGTATCTTTTAATACTCATCCTTTCCTGTTTTCGGAGCTTATTTTGCGTTTGCTTTACTTGCCATCCCTTGACGACCAATTCGTCTTCCACGTCAACCCTGACAATGTCATCAATTCCTTAATTCAAGTAACTTTGACATTTCCAAATTCAGAAATTAACCGCCGTCAAACCGCCATTGCTCGGTCGATCTGTTTGACTTATCTTTTTGATTTATTTGCTGTTCCTGAGAATGCCGCTCGTTGTTTTGAGAGCGAACGATTCATGTCTTGCTTCTCTATACTCATGGAAGAGAGAAATCTATGTAATGTCATCTTGAAATCGTTCGAGAGTGCATTGACTGGCCTTAAGGTACTTCCTTTCCCTATAGTTACCTCTATTTCGTGTATTTTGGTCAAATGTTCAATGATATCTGATGAATTTTATAAAGATTTAGGAGCAAGACTATCAAAAGTTGTGGTTGGGTCAATGCTCATCAACCAGGGAATAAGAGATTCAATTCCTGAGCTTATGAGTCCTTTAATTGAGATGCTTGGCAAAATCCCTGACCAAGACTCCCTCAAAATCCTTTTAGACCTTCTTTTCTCAACAGCACAATACTATGAGAAGCTGATTTATGACAATAGAATGTTTATTAAGATAATAAATATCATAAAATCTGTTGAAGGTGAAGAACCAAGCGATCCAACCTTACTAAGGCTCTACAACATCCTTAGTAACTCATCAACAGTTGGTTTAGGCCAACCTTTCGTTATAAAAGTTCCATCTGCGATTCCATTGATTCTTGCAGCATCGTACAAGTCTAAAAACTACTCAGACATACTTGATTTCTTCACGCAATTGTGCACTTACTCATCAAACAACGCAATTGCGATGCATTACGGAGATATGACTTCGATTTTGTTGCAGCAACTGAAAGGAACGTTTTCCTACAACAATTTCGTATTCGACAAAGCGTATGATGATGTTAAATTGATTACTGACCACTTCTTCCCTCTAATTTCTGCAATTCTCGAATTAAAAAGTAGTTGTTCAGTAGATCAGCACTTGTTCAACCTTTTCATGCCAGATGAGAACAATAACTTCCCTCCCCTTTCGATTCCTGTCCTTAAAATGGTCAATTCCGTCATTACAGCCGTTGAAAGCCAACCGACCACTCAAATCGAAGTCACTTCACCTGACCCCATAATTGATAATATTATAATTCCACATGAGAAAATGAACCAGAATTGGATGATCAGGATGAAAGTGAAAATTGACACGAAAGTCCATTCAAATTCGAACTTTGTTTTATTTGAATTCAAAGACAAAGCGAGTATTCCGTGCAAACTGACCATTTACACACTTGCAGACACAATTGTTGCTAGATTCATCAAATACAACATCAGATCAACAGCTACAATCATGAAGAAAATACCAGACAATCAATGGGTGAATATCAGTTTGTTGAATGTCAAAATTCCAACAGGCCAACACATCATTTCTTTCTTGGAAAGAGAATTCAAAGAAGAAACAGAGTATAACAAATTTGAGTTCACTACATCTGTCAAATTATCAGTTGCAAAGACGGAAGAAGTGAAAATTGACAAGAATTACATGTCACCTGTTGTTCTTGGCACATTCCATTTCATTTCTGGTGACATGCAATCAGATGAAATGAATCAGTTGATTGACCAAAACAATGAACAAATTTCAAAGAATCCTTTCAATTTTGTGAATTCAGATAATATTTTACACCTCAGAAAAATAGTCAAAACTCATGAATCATTGAATTGGACTTTGCCAATTCATGTTTGTTTATCTGACTTCATTCCTGTTTTTGATATTATTAAGAATGCTCCTTCTAATTACGCGGAATTATTAATTCCTATTATTTTAAGAGGAAGAAATATCAATATCTCTTCTACAAAGAGAATATTGAATATTAATTCTAATTGGGATATCGAGAAAACAAATAATTACCTCAAAAATCTGACAGGATTAGATTTTGATTATTTGCCAAAAGAAAATTGTTTGGTAAATTCCAACAAAAGTGACATTTCTGGATTAGTTTTTACTATTGCTAGAAACTTGAATTCTTCGCAATTAAATCATCATTTGTTTAATTCCATTACGAGTATTCTGGAATCAATAGAAAGTGATGATTACAGAAGAGAAATTATTGAAGATGTAATTTATAATTTGTTTATTTGGGCGGATTGTGATGATTTTTCCCAGAAAAAGATTACTTTGTTTTATGTAAACAAAAGCGAAGCATTGGCAACACCGAATTTGTTTAATTTGTTCTTGCACAGATCGTATTTGTTGTTATTCAAATCAAAGAAAACTTTTAATTCTTTGATGACGAGTTTCATCAAAATTCTTGAATTAATTTCAAGAGTTTACATGACAGAAAATGTTTTGTCAGATTTAATCAAAATCATGGAATCCCTAGATGATCCAAGTAATTACAAAACATACGGACATCTATTAGAAACATTGATATACAAGGGATATAAAGTAAATATCGAAGATGCAATGAGATTCCGAAAATTGGCAGAAAAATCTTCATATGAAGATTTGATTTGGTTGATTGGAATTTTACAAGTCGGATGTCAGGAATATTCTAAGTTTATTTTGTATAATTTATTCACTGTTTATCTCCAGAAAAACGAGCTAAACGAGCAGCCGTTGAACAACGACATGTATTGCATTAAAATGCTCTTCAAAGGTGATCATAACGCCGCATTCGAAAAGTTTGGAAATTTGATTGTTTCTATGGAAAAGTTTTGGTTCTTTTGGCCTTTGATGATCGGGTTTTGGTTTGAAGAAAAAAGTGACATAATTGTGAACTATATCGTTCCACCATTATTGAATGCGAAACCCATTGATTTATATTTGAAGCAGATATGTATTTTATTTGATATTGTTGAATCACAAAATTTATTTGAGATTTCCAAGTTAAAGAGGAAATTATTTTTGAAAATTTGCGATGAACTCAATGTTATGAAGCAGGAAGATAAAAATGATATAGCGAATGCTTTGATTGTCGCTTTCATTCAGGAGTTCTTGTTCGTTTTCACTGAAAATTCTTATAACAAAGAATTTTTGAATTATCTAAAAAGTGACAACGGTTCTATCGTCACTGGACAAGAAACATTTGATGATTTAATCAAAGAAAAGCTTCCTCCTATCAATGGCAGAGACTTCCATTTCGATGAATTCAAAGAGAGAATAAATTCTGACTTCAGCAAGTTCTATTATAGAAAGAGATGTATAGAAGGTGACGAAGAATTCTTTGACATAACAAAGAAAGTGTCTGAAATTGCATGCCAATACGCGAATGGTCCTGAATTTGTTAATAATGCTGTTAAATATGTACAGACATTTACGGAAAAGATTCCAGAACCAAGAACAACAATTTTTGATTTCATGTTGTCTGCAAATTATTATTATGGAAATTACAAATCTGATTTGATTAATTTAAGAGATGATATTATATTTTTATTAACTCTTCCTGCTATTATTGCTCCTGATTCTCCTAATTCATGTTCTGTTTTGATTAATCAACAAGTTAAATCTCTCAGAGACAAATTCCATTCTAGTTTGGTTTTCTCTGAAAACAGATCAATGAATATCACGAGAAGTAAGCATAATTTACCATATATTTCCAAACTAATACCTTTGAGTTTAGATGCTGTTCAACCACAAGTTGTTCCACAGCTTTATAATTCTTTGTTTTCACATGAAGAAAAACAAATCACGAAGTTTTCTGAGATAAAAGAACAGTTTAAATGTCCTGCAACAGTTCTGGTGATGAAGGAAAGGATTCCTGTTCAGTTCGAATTGTGGTATTCCAAGTTATTGCTAAGACAGGAACAGAATATTCCTTTAACAATTGATTTCGCGACTTTGAAATTCGCTGTAGCAAATAACAACCAAATTATTTTTTATGCTTTTAATTGTTCGTCACTTTTAATTGAATTTTCTCAAGATGACTTTACAAAAACCGTTTCACAACTTGTCAGACTTTCTGTGCCAATATCAGATAGAAAAGCGCAAATTGAAATACTCCAGAATAAATGGAGCGAAGGATTATTGTCGAATTTCGAATTATTGTTGCACACAAATATAATTTTTGGAAAAAGTTTTGATGATTTCAGGAATTATATAGAAATGCCTGCGATTTTGATTGAAAATGAATCAATTATGTTTGGAAAATACCAGAATGTACAAGTACCTGATGAAACAAAGGTAAATCTCATTAAAAATGTCCAAGAATCGAAAGAAATCAACATTCCAGAAGAAATTAAAAAACAATATTCGAAAACAAGAAGTGTTCAAGTCGAATTTTACATTTCTTCTGATTTGTTCGCAAGAAAATCCAATGTAATTGTTCCTAAAATGATCAAAACTCCTGTAAGCTTCACGTACATGTATAGAATGTGGTTGGAATTGCCTGGAATGACAGAAAAAATTTTGAATTTTATAAGTCAAAAATTTGGTGTCACTTTTTCAAGTGAAGTGAAGAAAATTCCAAATTCACCACGTATGGAATCCAAGTTAAACATTGATGACAACATTAGATTCAGAATGTTCTTGAGTTCCGATGACAAATTCATTGCGATTTCTCAAGATTCTGCATTTTTCATTTTCTTTTTCGAACTGAATAATTTGATTTTACTCAAATGCTACACGAATCCAGATATAGCTAAAAGCGCTGTGATGTACAATGACTCAATTGCAACAGTCTGTACTCCACAAAACAAAATTTTCACTCTCAGCCACAAAATTTCAAAAAGTGAAGTAATTGAATTCCAGGTAACTCATATGAGCCAAAGCCACAAGAGAGTAGTATTTGCTTGCAGTAATGGAGCTGTTTATATCAGTAATTCTTCGGAATTTCCTTCTGTCAAGAAATTAATTTTTGTTTCTACATCAGAAATCACTCATTTAGTGACATCCGATGAATACGATGTGTGTGTGATTGCTGAGATATCAGGAATCATCAGTGTTGTCTGTTTATCAGATTCTTATGTTTACGGAACATATAACACTGAAGGAAAAACAATTAATTCTATTGTTGTCACTCCTTCTTCTGGTTTTGTTGTTGTTTCTTTGCACCAGGAGTTCGTTGTTTTGTCTCTTTGTCTGACTTTCCTCAGTTCTGCAACTTACAAAGGACATGTTTCGCAGATGGTCGCTGTCAGGACATGTCATGGAGCTGATTACGTATATTTCTCTGATAATAGATTTGTTTACGTTTTCGAAGCAATGTTTCCTGCAAATATTGTCTCTGTTTACGAGGCAAGAAAGAGAATTATGGGAATTGCTTACTGCAAATCTATGGCTTCAATTGTTTGTGCATCACTGGACAACAAATTGGTGACAATCCCTGTTTCAATAGGAAGATAATTTTTTTATATAGGGTGTCCAAAGGTGCGTTTAGCACAGGGCTCTATATGAGACTATTAAAGGAGATATATGCTGATTATAAATATATAATAAAAAATATGAATATATGTATATGATGAGTATGTTGTATTTTGGCGCCATGCCGGGATAGAAAATGAATTTTGAGACAAGAGGCGGTTTCGCGGGAAATTTTGGCGGGATTTTTTTCATTTTTTTAATGAATCATAAAGAAAACATCCTCGCTCTTGCAAAAAAATGCAAAGACTGTAAAAAAATCTACGAGACATTGGTAAAATGCTTCGGTATGGATGCTCCTAGCTATTCCACTGTAACGTATCATGTTAGGATGTATCACTTCATGAACAAAAAGGCGCCCATCATAAAAATTGACAAAAAATCGCCGGATCAAAGAAAAATCAAAGCAATTCTTCAAGCGCTAGATGAAGACCCAAGAGCATCACTCAGAAGGATAGAGGAGATGACAAAGATACCACGTACAACAGTCAGTTATTATCTGCACAATTATTTGAACTACAAACTAGCGTATACACGTTGGGTTCCGCACAACCTTAATTCAGTTCAAAAAAAATCTAGAGTCCAATCTTCGAAAGAGCTCCTCTCTATATTGGGTGCGTATCAATCCAAGAAGTTTCGCTTTTTAGTAACAGGGGACGAGGCTTGGTTTCAATATGCAACAGAAGCCAAAATCATGTGGATCCCGAAGGATGAAAATCCGCAAACATTCCCGAAGAAAAAAATTGACACACCAATGATGATGTTGTGTTTTTTGGGGCGTGAATGGCATCATCGCAATTGATATTCTTCAAAAACCTAATACGATGAATGCTCAGTATCTAATTGACAATGTTCTTACTCAAATTATCAATTCTGATGAGTTTGAAAATCCAAACAACAAAAACAAAAGTTTGCAATTCATTTTGATAATTCAAGAGTTCACAAAAGTCATAAGGTAATGAATTACTTGGTGGAAAACAATGTCAAAGTTGTTCCAAACCCAATTTATTCACCTGATATTGCACCCTCTGACTTTTATTTATTCGGCACGCTAAAAAAGAGAGCTGAAGGACGCGAATTCGCGAGTCCAGATGATCTTGAAAATTTTGTAAGAGAGCAATTTGAGCAATTTTCTCATGATGATTTAAAGCGTGTCTTTCAAGCCTGGATCGATCGCTGCGAACGCGTGATTGAATCCAATGGTGATTATATTTAAATAAACTTTATATATATGTAACTTGTTTATTTCTATTCGCAGTATTCAGGTTTGTGCTAAACACACATTTGGACACCCTATATTATTTATTATTTGTTTTGTTTGTAAAAAATTTATTTATTAGTGACATTGTTAATTTTTAAATGAAACTTCATGCCAGTTGTCAAAAATTTGAATTAAAGTCAAATTGGCGTGAGTGCAACCATAAATATTTTGAAAATATTATTAAGAACTCGATACCGACACAACTTAATTACATATTAGAAGAACTTGAAAACTATTTTTTGAGTTTGTAGTCTTGTGGATTTTTAGTGATGTATACTTATTTTAATTTAACATTTAGTCAAAATTATTACAATTAATATGAAGTGCCATTGAAAATCTAACTTAAATGGGAGAATTGAAGCCCATGCCATACAATTACATCCATAAAAAATAAAATGAATGAAAAGATAATAAATGCAAAACTAACAGTCCATATAAATGATTGTTAGTTTGGAGGAAAGGTAACTAAACTCCTTTCGCCGATCCGATTTGCTCCATATTTAAAATATAGCTTGCATATGTAGAAGAAAAGCTAATTTTGAAGTACGCCCGAAATCCACCAACAGGATTTCGAGCTACTAAAAAGGTACTTTTAAATGTGATTTTTTTTATAAAAAATTAAATTTATTTTAAGATCAGACTAAAAACTAATTTTATGGAAAATCTATATCGACAAATTTATTACTTATTGGGTATATAGATTTTTTGATTATGGCGATTATGTCTGATATGCTTCCAATAAGCCAAAACACATTTCATACTGATTTCTATAAAAGGTATCTTTATTATAGAAGTGTAAGCTATATCTGTTTGTTTTTTTATTATAACAAATTCAAAATTCTCTTATAAGGACTAGATGAAATCTGTATTATTAAATCATTAGCTAAATGAAGGTTCAAATAGAAAGTAAATATCAATTTATATGATACTGAAACCAAATAGTTCTTTTAATAAAAGATAACACGCTGAAAATTATTGAGTATTTGCAAATCTCAAAAATCTATTGGTGAATTTGGCTCAACTTTTAAAATTATAACATCCATATCAAATCATAAAAGCAGACAAAAATTAAAGCCAAACCTATCGGCCAATTTTTTTTGATATTTTGATTTTTGAGGTATACTTTTAAAAGTGGATTTAAAGCACTTATGAAAAAACATTAACTTCTGTCGTTATGATTATTGATTTAGACAATAATGATTTTAATCTTTGATTATCAAAACACTAAAGTCATCTTTTTAACATTTGCTTGGTAGCATTAACTCAAGTCTAAAGTACTATTTTATGTGGCACTCTTAGAATTTTTGTATTCATTGTACACGCTGAAATAGTACCATTAAAGTTATGGCGGACTTTCAAAAAATAGTTTGGTCACCTTTTTTGGAGGTGGAAAAATCAAATTTTCCTAAAATATAAAACGACAACCATTTTTTCTGAAGAGCACAATCAATTAATTTATTTTGAGCGCTTGCAAATAACTTCAAATACACAAATGATTATAAAAAATGTAAGAATAAGAGAACTAATACCGAGGACATTAGTACAAATGAGGAGTGTTCGCGAATTCATTGGAGGTTTTGCACCTTTTTTTACAACTAATTTCAAAAAGTGTTTTTGTTCAAATTCTCTGGTAGAAATAACATTTGCAAACGATGCCATGTTGACCACATCTCCTTCATATATTTGTTTAACAGACATTTTCGATCCAAGTCTTGGAAAAACAGTTCCATTTCCATCAAATCCATAAAATACAAAAGAATAATCTGAAGAAGCTTTTCCGGTAAAAGACGTCTTCAAAACGTTATTACTTCCTGCAACTCTCCAAAGAGGGTGCTGTGTTGGATCAGAAAGGTCGAACTTTTCAGAAAGAATATTTGTATCTGCGACAATATTGAAAATAATTGGTCCACTTGCTTCAATTGTATTTTTTCGTCCATAAATAGCCACTGAACAAATATTATCTGATGATATTTTTATAGTTGAGTTAATAGCTATTAAAGCAAAGTTTTTCCTGTCTTCATCACATGCAAGAGAAACAACTCTGTTCTTGAAATATCTCTGAAGGATTTTGTTTTTCGATGTCAATGAAAAAATTTTGTCATATGCATTGCTTCCGTCTATTTGGATGTTTAATTCGTCAGGAGAATTGATAAGCCCTTGTGGCGTAGCTGCAATAGTTGCAGGTGGCGTTACATGAGTAAATTCAGAAGATATAGCTGTTGTTTCTTCTGTTGTTTCTGATTCTGTTGTTGACTCATCAGGTTCTGGTGTTCTGTTCGCAGAAATTTTTAATTTGAAATGATTTGCCCCTTCAATGATAGGTGCAAAAGGAATTTCATCTTGGTCAAGTATACGTACGTTCTCATTATAGTATACAATATCTAAATCCTCATTTAATACATTTGAAGCTCTAATTTCAGATAATACTTCAACATTTTTTGTGCTGTTCGTATCAAATATGTATTGTATGGAATATTCTGTTTGGCAAGGATCATAGAAGTAAACTAACGGATAATTTTGAGGTATTGTTTCATCAACATGATAATTAATTTTCATTCCATTGTCTACGGATAGAAATATTTTGCCAAAAACATCAATCTCTAACGTTGTGTTTGTATCTCCTCTTGAAACGTTAATGACAGCAAAATGATTTGGGTCATTATTGATTTTGTAATTTAATCGTCGTCGTTATTGATTTTGTAATTTAATCGTTATCGTCTTTTTCTAAACGTGCATTTTTTGCTTTCGGAGCTATTGAACATACATTGGCCCTTACCAGCAATTGAAAACTATTTTTCATTATCAACAATTACATTACTCCGAGTTATTCATCAATCAATGAAAATCGATATATAGTCCATACTTCAATTTACAATATTGGCAAGTCCAATTTCACTTGGCATATTTAACTCATATAGAAAAACCAGTTGGAATCGGCAAAATTATCTTTAATTCCATACATAAGAAAAAAAAATTATAAAGTTCTTCAATAATAGCAAACTAATAGTTTAAATAGATTTACAAGTATTGCCCATCTACTTTTGATATAATTCACATATTAAATGTAGAAAACTGGTTTAAAATAAATATTTCAAAAGTTCGAAAACGATTTATGAAAAAATAACGTGATGACATTTACTAAATTTGCTCTGTATTAAAGTATCGATGATAGAAAGAGCATATTTTGTAAATATTTCAAAAATATTTAAAAGTCGGAGAAATTGTATTGTAATGTACTATAATTATGTTACAAATCCGATTCAATACTAATCCTTCGCTATTGAAGTTGTTTTGAGAAGGATATTCTCTAAATTCTTGATAAATCTTTAAAATCTAGAGTAATCGTTTTGTAAACTTAACAAAACTAAAATGTATACCAATAGATTGGCATTTTCTACGTTTTCAAAGTGAGAGAGTGTAAATTCTTTTTTTTATCCTATTAAGGTTTTTAAAAAATTTAATTAACTTAATTTATATGATCTGAAATATATGACAAGTTAATATGGAGAATTCTTTCAACCCAATTTCAATTTATTGAATTTTCTATTCGAATTCAAAAATTTTCCCAAGAAGAAAAAATAATTAGGAAATTTAATATGTTAATACATAAAATATTTTATTTATTCAAAGAATTCAATTTTCTATTGGATCAAAAAACTTGTGTTAAAGTTCGTATTTTAAGATAACTATACTTTTAGAAGCTGTTTTTATTTTTTCACCGGGATTTTATTAATTTAATTCTTTCAAAATTTGAATCTTATTGTATATCACCGGACTATGATCATAATAGAGTTGCAATCTCTAATTATAGCCACATTAGTACTCGTGGGTCGATATATCATGGGAGATACAAAATTATTTGAATTTTCTTTTATTTTTTTAAAAAATATTAAAAAAAGTAAATAAATAACTAACAACACAGCATCACTTTTCGTAAAATGCTTTAATCCTAGTCCTTTTTCCCCTTAATTTTTCAATCTCTCCCAGGTTGAAATTTATTCCGGGAATTTTTAAAGATGCTTGGTCAACATAAAATTTCATTAAATCTTCCACAGGAGTCATAAACTCTGAACATTTGAAGCGAGCATGAACTGCATCATTCAAATTTTTAAGAAGATTTTTGTTCGAAAAGTGATTCAATACGGCGATTACATGAATACAAGGTAATCCGTATAATTCGATGTGCTTACATGTGCATGAATATTGTGAATCTGACATAATTTTTACGCAATATGTATAGCGACCAAAAGTTGCATAATATAATTCTTGAATTGGATCATATAATACCGAGCTAAACATATCTGAATGTTTCAAAGTTTCATTTAGATTTTTGATAATATTATCTGATTTAAAATCACCTGTTAAAACATTTTTAACAAGATTGAATTCATGTTCAATGAGACGGATAATTAGTTCGGCGGGTTCATATGTATCCCATTTATCTTTAATTTCGGCATTAAGGGATTCAATAAGAGATGTTGTGAGTATGCCAGCGGTGTAGTCAGCGAATCCTTCAAATGGGTTAATACTATCTAAGTACTTAAAGAGATCCTGATTATTTTCGCGGTTTGGATATTCCTCTTGTAAACGAGTTTCTAACTTTTTAATCAAGTCAATTCGTTTTTGAGGATGGTCTGCGTAAGCGACTTCAACAATTTCGGAATAGACATTGATGTATTCCCTTTTTGTTGCAAAATGACGTAAGCAAAATTTATGATCGCAAGAAAAGCCTGATTCTCTAACAGCAGCTATAATTGCCGGACCTTGATCGGAATAAATATTCTTGAATCTGCTTGGTGGAATAAAAGATTTCAATTTAGTGAGCATATCCTTAATTGTTATCGTATTTTCACTAACAGACCATGCAAATGCAATAGGGATAAGTCTATTATTTGGTGCAGGTGTACCAATAATGAGTAAGTTTCCTTTTTTAATACAAAATAAAAACGTTCCATCAATTTGAATTATTCCGCAAAAAGCTTGTGTTTGCATGTAAAAATGAGTTATTGGAGGAATTACAATAAATGAATAAATTTGAAAGTCTTTTGAATTTTCAGGTAATTCATCACCTTTCTTAAATGTATGCAATTCAATTTCATTGTTAACTTCTTTAACTAAAATCATTTCGCAGAATCCTTGTTCGATTTTGTTTATGATTGAAAAAATTGTTGAGAAATAATTGTAAGATTGAATTCTATCCCCTTTTGTGGTTCCTTTAAGTTTATTTACTATATTATGGAACATCGTATAAGTTGCATTGGGAATATTCAATTCTTTTGCAAAAATTTCTTTGCATTGAGGAACATTATCAGAATTTGCTAATTCATAGACTTTTTTTCCTGCTTGCAACTTAAGAATTTTTGGTATATTGTTACTCGGCTTGCATTGCTTTGCTCTATGCTCGTGTTTAATTACTGGAATGAAGAAAAGTTGACCATTTTCATGAGTCTTTACAAGCTCCATGCAAAATTGGCAGTTAGGACAACGAAACTTTTTTCCTTGCTCAAAATTTAATGGATAAAAAGAATTATATGAATCTTTTGCAATAAATATAGCAGCTTCTGTAGGATCTGTAAATTTTAATTTGCTATATCTTTCCTTGAGAATTGGAATTGGGGATTTTCAGGTATTTCCATTCTATATTTCAATTTTTTACGGGAATTCAATTCATTTTGAATTAAATCCAGCATATCAGCTCCATCTCCTTTTTCTTCATCAACAATAGCTTGGATGGATACTGATATAGTTTGATTCTCTTCCACTATTGTCGGTTCGCTTTCCGACATGAGATAAAATTGAAGGTTTAACGTACTTTTGATACTCTGAGTTAAAAAAAGATTTTCTTAACATAATTTGATTTATTGGTCCTTAAAAAATTCTGATTCAAAATTGAATTGAATCGAACGAGTTTTCCTTTTGAGTCATTTCAAATATTCATGAGAAAGAAAAAAAATTCTAGCAATTTCAAATATTTTTGATTTGATTGAATTCAAAAGTGTCACAAATATTCAATGAGAAAGAGAAAAGAGATCGAATATGTTGTTTCTGAGCGAATAGTCAAGCAATATTTCGTTAAGTACAAAGATCAGCATCCGGAAAAAAATAAATGGGTATATCAAAATGAGATTCCGCAAGAAATATTTGAAAAATATCTAGAAACGAAGAAAACAGAAAATATTGATGAAATGTTACGCTGTACTCGAATTGTTCATGTTGTTGATCAAGATAAAAAAGAATTTTATCTTGAATTTTCAAAAAAAAATCAAATTCATCACATATTAAACAAGAATCTAGATGAAGAACATCAAAAGGCTTATATAGATTATCTTGAAAGTTTACTCAAACTTGAAATAAAAAATAAAAATTAAATTAAATTAACCCTCGTTAGGATATCGTTGCAAATAAAGATCTGTTTCTCAGAAAGATCCTGATTTTCTGATAAATATTCTGTTGTAACTTCTACAAGGTTTAAGATATGAAAAACATTTTTGAATATTTCATCGCTATCAAATCTGCGGAAACATCTGGAATATAATTTCAAATATTTGTGAAGATTTGAATTCTCAATTGCATAATTAATTAAAAATTCATGTGAATTTAAAAAATAGGTAGATGAAATTTGCATGGGTATAAGAGGAAGTACACAATAATACCCCTGAACTACATACTCTGTAAATGAATAGTGAGGAGAAAGACTTCGCAGAATTTCAAGTGTTTTTATGAATTCTAAAGCCATCTCAGATGTTATATCGACTGCTTTATAAAATAAAACTATAAATTTGAGAAGATAAACAAAATCTTCGTTATTTATAATTGAATTCACGTCATTAAAAAAGTTGAAATAATTTGATATTAGTATATCCGAACATGGAAGAGCAGTTGCATATCCTGGGTAATATTTTAATAATTTTGTAAAGAAATTTGCAATTGCATAAGTTGAATATTGATTTTCGTACTCAATAATACTAGAAAAAATTTCTTTCTTGAGTAAAACTGCGTTTTGGAAGAATTCAGCGTCAAGAATATTGTTTTTAATCAAAGCAATAAATGTATCGATGATATAGAGAGAATTGTCACTGCTGCTTATGAAACGTAATATCTCATCATATTGATCGGAAAATGTTGATAAATAAAGGTATTGTATGTTATCTAAAGCTTTAAAATGAATTAATTTTAATGAAAAAATGAAAAAAATCTGGTTAATATAATGCGATAAATATTCGAATAAATTTTCCAGTAGTATCAAATCTATTTGAAAGATATTCGAAGAAGTGATATTTTGAATTGTGAATTTTAAGTAGTATAAGAGTGCGGGTTTAGTGACTTTTTTTGTTACAACTATATATAGACGATGCATTAAAATATATTTATTTATAAATCATTAAAAAATTAACATTAATTTTAAAATAATTTATTTTTTTATCTTTTATAAAAGAAGCTATATATAGATGATGTCAGATATTCCGCGATTAATTAAACATTGTTTAAATCCTGAATGGGTTAAACTTCAATTTAAAAATGAAGATTGTGAATTATTAAATGAATATGAAAGCCAAAATAAGCTAATGAGGTATAAATATAATGATAAAGAATATTTAATTTCATGGAATCAATGGAGTCATAATCAAAGACCTCATAAACGAGAAGAAGAAATTGAAAATAATGAAATGGAAATCATTGATGACATTAAAGAGGATGGAATTCCTAAATTTTGTAGAAAAACCTTTAGAACTAAGTTAGGAGCATATAAACGTAGAGTATTAAATCCTGAATATCTTAAACATCAATTTAAAAAGGAAGACTGTGAATTATTAAACGTTAATGATTATGAAAATACTAAATCAAAACTGAGATATAAATATATTGGAAGTGATGAAAGGTGTAAAGATAAAGATAAAGTTTATTCAGTTTCATATAATAACTGGCACACGTTAGGGATAAGAAAACATTTAGGAGATTATGGGAAATGTTCTGAATTCTTTAAATCTAGTATATACGAGAGAGTAAAAGAAATCAGATATAATTATTTTCATGAATGAAAAATAAACTACCATAATGAAATAAAAAAATTTTTAAAAAATAAACTTTAAAAAACTAATGATTATTTGAATTTATGAAATCAATAATTTGATTTATTCGCTCTTCAATAATTTCTATTCTTTTTGTTAAATCATCAATTTTCATTAATGAGGTGATTCTTGATTGAGGAATAGATTTCAAACTAACCACTCCTTTTATTTTTGAAATTTTGAATCCATGACCCTCTGGGTCTTGGACTCTGTCCTCAACTTTAAACATTTTATTCAATTTACATGTTGTCAATTCTTCAAATAATTTTTTATTATTAGCATAATAGTCATTAAATTCATCAACAGATGAAAAAATTTTTATTTCAGTAATTGGTTTAACAACGTTTATTTTTTGTTGAACATTTTCACTTTCTTCCTCCTCTGTTTCATTTATTTTTAAAATTGGTTTCATTTATGATTAAATAAAAATTAGAATATAAGTGATGAAATATATTTTTTAATTAATATTAAATCAGAAATGGCGGCAGGATTCTTTAAAAAATTATGGGAAGGAATTAAGAAAGCAGCAAGATGGGTTCATCAGAAAATAATAAAACCCGTTGCAAACTTTTTGGCACCAGTAGCGAAAACGGCAGGAACTATCATAGGTGGAGTATTAGGTGCTAAAGCAGGTAATCCAGCGATGGGAGCACAAGCAGGTAACGCAGTTGGTGGAATTGCTGAAGGAATACTTAATAAAATAGGAGGTAAATAGTGGAAAAATAAATATTATTTTTATCTCAATATCGGTTGTAGTCGACGATAAACTTTATCTCCTTTATTTAATACTTCCCTTACCGGAACATTAGGTGCTATTTGTTCTGCAACGTCACTAATTGCTTCTTTATTCTTAAATATCCAATTTGCTCCTTTCTTAATCCCTTCCCAAACTTTATGCGCTCCTCTTTTTACTTTATCCCACAGTTTCTTAAAGAATCCTGCAGCCATAGTTGATTATTTCATTAAAATTAAAAATTCATTTTCATCTTTTAATTTTGATTTTTTATTTAATAATAAATGACGACTAACTATTTAGTGCCAAACACTAAACCGATTAATGGAAATGTATTTCATTCATTCGAAAAGATAAATGAAATATTCGCAAAGAATGACGGTAGAAGATATTATAGAGAACTTGAAAGTTCATGCTATGACTCTGATGCTCCATATTTTGATGATAAACAAACTCATTTAAGAATTACAAATCCGGCTCATGATGTGAACCAATTAGGTGACACATATATTAAACGCAAAGTTAAAGCAACTCTAGTTTCAAATAAAGCTTTCACATGTGATGCCGCTTTTAAATGCATGCGTTTATTCGTTGGTTACAAATCATCAAATCAAAGCTTTAAACAATTAGAAGTAGAAACCGAAAGAGGTGATGCCGGTTATCTTCAGATGGATTGCGCCCGTGAATCTTTCGCATTTGCAACATATAAACCAAAATCAGAAAGGAAAGTTAAAAAGTTTGTTCATTCGTTATATAATAATGTTCAAAAATATGATAACTCAGTATGTGGTAAATATATTGACCCTTCAGAAGTTTTCAAGAAAGCAAATGAAGAAGTTGATGTCACTTTTGATATGATTATTCCGGTAAATGATTTGTTAGCATTTCAGGCGTTCGATGATTATCCTAAATCATTTGGTGAAATCATTCTTAAATATTATGTTTTCAGGGATACTTTAGTATTTTGTCAGGTTGACCCGTTAAGAGTTGCTGATTTACAAAATTACGTTTATGAAAAGATAACTGATGAAAATTATGAAAAGATTATGAATCATGTTTATAAATATGATCGCAAATTCCAACAAATCGGACTTCCTGCCAAATTAATTACAAGCTTAGCCGCTACATCTGCTGACGCAACAGTTGAAGACGTTATTATTTCATGCACAAAGATGGAAGTTTTAGAGGATAAATGCATTACACCAGGATACGGTTTAATTGAAGAATCAGTTAAAGCAATACCACGTTTATTTAGTAAGGAAGATCCATTCATGATTCCAGCTCAACATATTGACGTTCGTTCACTAAATGGAGGTTGCATCACTCCTGAAGGTATCAGCTCAGATTTCTCATACGCTCTTCATAATGTTACAGATGTTGTGTTAACATTTCCGAAGAATGCAATGCAAAGAACGGTTTTAGAAAATCCAATGCTTCGAGGTCTTCAGGTCACTATAGATTCCAGAAACTTCCCCGATCAAGCGATGACCACAGTGGGTGACATATTCTTTACACGTATGCTTCAAGCTTCTGATTTAGATGGAGTGAATGAATGCACAGAAGAATACGAGGACTCATTAACTAGACCACTGAATGATGATGATGGCACACCATTAGCTAGAACATGGAAAGACCAAACTTCATTCTTATGCACTATTCCAGTTCAACGTGATGGAGCGGGTATATTCTTTGATGGATTAGAAACTTTCAACTCACAAGTTACAGTACAAGTGAAAGCTTATCCAATCATTCAGGGTGAAAATGACACTTACTGTTCAAAAGTGACAAATCCTCCTCAGGTTTGGTTTACTAGGACTACATATTGGACATGGACACCGGATGAAGGTTTGAAATATCATCCAACAGGTACACCACCGCAGTATAGAAGTTCATATGATGAAATATTGATGAATAGAAATGTTTAAAATTATAAATTTATTTTTGATTAAATGGATTTAAATTCATCCACCCCTTATGAAGAATTAGCAGGAGTATATAATACATACGTAGATGATATGATTAATGAAGCATTGAGTGATAATAGAAATGCTCTATCTAAGGAAAAATTAATGAAAATTCCATATTCTGAATGTTACTTAAATTCAATCACTGCAGCAATTGGTAAACAAAATAAAGGTAAAACATTAACGATATTAAAACAAATTATCATTATTGCTAACACTTCACCCTATTCACATGTGTTAATTTATATCAACCGTTCAGGTTCACCTTCAGATGATACATTTGAATCTTTAAAGCATTTAATCAAAATTCCAATTATTTATTTATCACAAGAAGAAGCAGAAGATTATTTAAAAAACTTTGTAATGTATAAAGAATTATATAATACAATCAAGAAGCAAGGATTAGAGGATAAAATTATTGATAAACAACGGGATGAATTATTTGAAACACTTTCTATTTCAAATTTTGATAGAGAATTTTTGCATTCACTCATTTTTCTAGATGATGCGTGAAATCAAAACTAATAACAAATGAGAAATCATATTTTAATCAGTTATTAACTCAATGTCGACACATTCAGTGTTCATTCTTCATGGCTGTTCAATACTTTAAAGCATTAAGCACAAACATTAAATCAAACCTGTCCACCCTTTTCATTTTCAGTGGTTTTAGTCGTCAACAGTTGAACGTTATGCTTTATCAAGTGAATTTACCAATGAGCATTAATGAACTTTACACACAATATCAGCAATTAGGAGAACATGGAAAAATAATAGTTGATTTAAATAAAGGTTCCATTAAATTCGAATAACTTTTTATAATTAATTTTTTTTTTATTTATAATTAAACATGACAGAAATTGCAAATCTTCTACAGGTTCCATTAAAACAAGGAACAAACAAAAAGGGTGCATATAATAGAACTATGAAAGTTCCAGACGGAATGAAAGAATTAGTCCACATTGTTGCCGGTCTTCAAAAGGATGTTAAACAAATGAGAAACGTTTTAACATTACCAGAAGCTCAAGCATATGCCAAACGTCACGGACCAAATTGGGAAGCACACGAAGCAGACATTACGGGTCCAAATGGAAAACCTGATGGAATAAATGAAGTTTTCGTTACTGATGGTCAAGGAAATATTAAAGTCATAAATGGGTATAAATTAACAATGACGGATTATCCTAAACGTAAAGCATATAATGAACATTATCCTATGCAATTTGATGAAAATGGAAAAGCTGTTAAACAATACATTGGAGAAGGTGAAAATGGTCCAATTAATTCATACCGTCATAATCCATATTCTTACTTCAATGAAGAATTAAATGCTATTGAAGAGGGACCGGATGGATTACCACGATATTCTAACCAGTTTGATGGTCAATATGCAAATTTAAGACCTGAAATTCCAGCTAAGAAATTCTTTAAAGTTGCTTTATTCGATCCAGTTTTCGCAAATGTTAAAGATGAACTTAAACAGCAATTCCAACCAATTATAGTAGCAAGAATTGCATCAGGTGCTTTATCTCAAGCATTCAAAGATTTAATTAAGAAACCATTATATCAGCAACGAGGTTTAACTTATGATTTAGTTAAGGAATCAGATAAAAGAAAATTTGAGAAATCAATGATTATAAGAATGCAATTAATGAATATATTCGGTCTATTAATTTCGATGAAAATGCTAAAAATCAACTTCATGAACAAATACAGGAAATAATAGATTCAAAAGTTCCAGCAAAATAAAAGTTTAAATATATTTTTTTATTCGAATATAAATGAGAAGACGTTTCACTAGTCAAAAGAACACTAACGCAAAAGCAGAGATTACGGTTGGTTATAACGTAAATGATGATAAATCACGAATTATTCAAAATGTTAAAGTTAATGTTAGTCCTGAATTAACAAGGTCAGCAACTCAACCAAATTTATTAACTCGTGACTTACCGAAGAATGAGGAGAATGAAGAAAACCATGAGAATGGAGACCCAATCATTTTATCTGAACCTGGTAAAGAACCTGTTGAAATTCCCACTTATCCAACATACCCCCCACTCTTTCATCAAACATCGAGAACCCAGGAATCTACGATTACAGTCGCAATGCGCCATATAAAATAGACATTAATTCTGAATTAATGAAAATTTACCGTGATATCATAACTGATAATTATGATTCAATAATAAATTTAATTGACCAATCCGGTTTAATTATTTTACCTTATGAATCATTAATTCACATTATCGCCATTCTTTGTGATGTTCAAGATTCAGACGTGAAGATTCAATTTTTCATAGATGATGAGGTTTCATGCTGCGGAACAGTTGCAAAAATAAATCCTATAAAGGATATTAGCACAATTAAGATATCAAAGAACGGAACAACAACTGAACTTCATTTAACATATAATGATATTTATAATAAAATAGTTGATGAATATAAAATATCACTTGAAAAATTCTTTGTTAAGGCTATTTAATATTCAAGCATTAACATTATCGAATAATAATCCTTTGAATCATAATCGATAATAATTGACCTTTCACCAGTTTCTATCGTTTGTTTTATTTCTTTTTGTTCCCCACTATCCGGATCGGTCATTGTAATTGTTTTTGTTATAGTATCAGCTTTATCTTTAACTTCAATCTTTTTTCCATCGGGATATTTAAACCAAAATTCCAAAAATTCGATATTGTCAATCTGTTCATATTTTAATCTATCAATTACATTTTTAATACCATCTGAAAATCTTATGAAATGGTCATTATATGGGTTTGATTGAACTAAATTTGAATGAAGTGAAATATAACCTGATGATGAATATGACATCGACTCATATTTTCTGAAAACACTAAAATTTATAACATGAATGAATTTCTTATTCGTTGAATTTATGAATTCTTGAGGTAATCTTATTCTAGTTTTATTTATCACTGGAAAATAACGCTTTACCATATTTTTAATCGTAATAAAAAAATGTCAATTATCAATATTATTTCGAATAATAACTGTGAATTAAATTTAACAGTTAGCGGAATTTATAATGTTACTCTCGTTTCTGTGAGTGGTAAATTTAATCCCATTCTTTTAGACCCTTCAGATTATATATCATTTATTAAAGATGACCATGAGCCGCATAGCGGCGGGGTCGTAGACCTAAAAACGTATGATATGTATATAAATAATGTGATAACGAAATGGGATATTAACATGATTTTAAGTTATTTAAATGAATCATTTATCGTATGGTATGAAGAAAATTTTAAATCAAAACCTGATAAACTTTTTGAACTTGATGAAATAAATAACCTTATTAAATTTCCGCTGAAAATTAAATTTTGTACTCCTCGTCTTCGTTCATTGTTGGGGATATTAAATTTTGAAAAAGATGTTGGGGATGTTTTGTATTCTGACACTGGTTCTAATTTCATTTTAATCAAATGTGATAAAGTTAATACCCCAATGAGATTTTCACATCAAACATTAGACCCTAACTCTTACCCATCAATACAAAACATTTTATCCATCAACTTAAACATATTTTCTTTATCATATCCGTTTCAATTATCCGGGAATTCATTTATTCTTCATTCAAAAGATTTATCAAATATTAAATTTAGAATAACTGACCTATTTGATTGTGATTTAGAATTTATGAATGAAATATTATGGCAATTTCAAATAGAAAAAATAGCTGATGAGATAACAGATTAAATATTTATTTTTAAATCGTAATAAATGATTAAACAACAGCAACCACAGACCATTACATACGCCATATATGCATATAATTCAAAGACGGCAGAACAAACGCAAATGTTGAAATATGGAGATTTGGAGATAGTATTGAAAAATGACCATTTCGAATTCGTTTGCAAAGGTGGTGCAGTGATATCAAATATAAAAGAAATTTTATTTATGAATTCAAAAATTAAAGGAATAACGGATGATATAACATCAATTCCACCAGAAGAACAAAGATATTACGCATTAAATGCATTTCCTAAAGTTTTGAAGATTGGAAGATTTAATTTAAATGAGGAATTCATAAAAGGTTTCCTAAATGACATAATGAAGAAGGCAAATTTGGTTTATGTTGATGAAAAAGATAATGAAATTATAGAAAGGGTTGATAGTGAATTAATGAAGAAAGCAAATTTGGTTTATGTTGATGAAAAAGATAATGAAATTATAGAAAGGGTTGAATGGTATCATGAACGGACATCGAAGATTCTTAAAACTAAAGCTGATACAGGATGGGTTTCAGAATGTTTAGACCTTAAAGCAGATAAGGAATATGTTAACGATGAGTTAGCAAAGAAAGCTGATATATCATTTGTTAACGATGAGTTAGCAAAGAAGGCAGATAAGGAATATGTTAACGATGAGTTAGGGAAGAAAGCAGATAAGGAATATGTTAACGATGAGTTAGGGAAGAAGGCAGATAAGGAATATGTTAACGATGAGTTAGCAA